GAAATTGTTCTGAAGCTTTTTTAATAAATCTGTCATTCGATTAGTTATGTTTGCTGAGTCCAGTGTTGAAAAAATAAAATCCTTCAAGTTTGGGAAATGAAGAAGTTTGGCTGTTTGGAGTTCCGTTACAAACAAAGGTAGCTTGTCTCGAAAAACGTTCAATTTTTCAACCAGATCAATGATTGTCTTGTGTCTTCCTTGCAGTTGCAAGTTCAGTGTGTTCAAATGAGCAAACAAATCGTTTAAAAAGCAAACATTTGCCAAAAATGCGCTGTCACGTAATACTTTCCTATACTTTTCTGCCTTATTATGAGAACAGTTTCCAAGAAAACACTATTTCTTCTTTGATACTCCAAAAAAGATCAAGTGCTTTCCCTTTACTCAGCCAACGAACGTCATTGTGCAGAAGTAAGTCTTTGTAATCTGCTTCCGTTTCTTCAAGTAACTGCCGAAATAACCTGTAATGAGTACTTGATGAAGATCGAATGAAATTGATTATTTTCATCACCATATCCATTGTTTCCTTAATCTCGTCGCTCAGTTTGCTGCACAGAACACTTTGATGGATAAGACAATGTAGTGACTGCATCTGAGGTGCTACTGCAGAAAGCCTGGCGGTCACACCTTGGTGCTTACCTAACATTGACGGCGCCCCGTCCGTTAGCAAAAAACAATTTTTTTTTTTCAAATCAAGTCCATTTTCTGTAAAAAAATAACTTAATCTTGTCAGAAATAACTTTTCCAGTTGTGAAATTTTCTAATGCTATTAAAGCTAGAAGTTCTTTATTAAAACATTTTCCATCGAAAAAACGCACATATAAAGATAACTGAGCCACGTCTATGATATCTGTAGATTCGTCTATGGCAGTTGATAAAATTCTGCCTGCTTTATGTTTTTAATTAAAGATTCAAAAACTTCAGTTCCCAAAATTTCGATTCTGCGTATCGTCGAAGTATCCGACATAGGGCTTTGCTGAACTGCATGTGACACGCTTGTTTTTATTCTATCATCAACTGCTATTTCGTCCAGAATTGCTAGTATGTATTCTTTCACGGTTTCTGAGTCAGTGAAAGGCCGCTTCTTTTTGGCTAATATCCACGAAACATGCAAAGAAGCCGCTGTGGTTTTTTTCTTGTTGAGTACAAGCTCGCACAAACATTCTGCTGCTATGCTGATAAGTAGCAATCAATGACTCAACCTTTGATTTCCTAGCAGTGAAACCTTCTGGGTATGATTTTCCAAAATCAGCGTGTTTCGTTGTAAAGTGCCGCTTTACGTTGTACTCCTTTACTGCCGACACATTCGTTGCATAGCAAGCACATTGGTTTCGAATTAGGCTTTGTTGGTGATATAAATAAATATTTCAGCGTCCAGTCATTGTTGAACGTACGATTTTCACACACCCATTTAGCTTTCTTACTAGTACCAGCCATGGCATTAAGTATGTCACTTAATTATTAAAATTTAGATAACTTAAAACACTTTTACTGTTTCAGTTTGTTACTACACAATCGCGTCCAGCAGTCTACGTCTGTCTGCGACTTGCACACTAGACGTTCACGAAATATCTGATTATAATCTAACAACAAATTCACTAGCAGGTTTTCTGCACTGTCCAGTGTCACTAATGTTCTGCAGCACCCATTGTCATTAATCTTTGTTTATGAGTGGTCAACTTTAAGGGATAGTTCCTCCGTAATCTAAGCGCTAACTATCTGGACCGGGATTGGATCTCCATACGCCTCCTGTCAAATAAATATCTCACCTTCATTGACTGTCCAGTGGAGCGACTGCTGCCTACTGTGGTTACTTGATTCTTTCCAGCCTATCTTATTACCTTTGGCTCCAAACAGGTGAGTTCTGCTATTTCAAGTAACTTTTACCGTGAACTAATTACATTTCCATGCCTGAGAGATTCTCCCAGTTGTGGTATTGTCTGTTCATACGCCAGTTCCATTGTATCTTCGCATTTAGAGATCCCTGACAAATATTTCTTATTGTCACATTCGACACAACTTGTTTTTGAAGATTTATACAGAAACATTGATTAATTACATTTTTTAAAATATACTACATTTCAGTGCCAACGATCGGAGGGCCACTTGCTAGGTCTCCGCGAGCCAGATTTGGCCCGCGGGCCGCCAGTTGAATGGCCCTGATCTACACCTTAAGACATTTGCTGCGGGAGACGGAACATCTATGGGAAATCCCGGCCTAGAGACCGATATGGAAACTTTTTCCTTCACATCAATGATCCCTTCTCCTTTATTTCTCCAAAATATTCTTGCTGGACTGCAAGATGTTTCTCTAAAGTCCTCATTTGGTTACTTTCATGGCAATTTTCTTTATTCAGTTCAGTCCTTTTTGGTTATCCAATTTAATCTTTTTTAGTTACATAAAAGGCATAAAGGGTATTCTAAAATCCTTCCGGTAAACAAAAAGGATATATATATATATATATATATATATATATATAGTATATATATATAGTATCCATTTTGTTTTATATATATATTATTATATATATATAATATATATATATATATATCTATATATATATAGACAGACAGGACACATACACACACACTAAAAGGGGGCGTGGGGGGGGGGAAGGAGGACTAAGTTGTCTTGAAGAATGGTGTCCGCCTCGAGTGCTGGAGGTCCCGGGATTGAGTTAGAAGTAGAAAGGAGCACTTATGGGTTACACCCGTGTGTCATTAAGTTGATCCATCGAATAAACAAACTTACACACACACACACCCGCGCACACACCCCCGCGCGCGCACATACACACACACACACACACACACACACACTCACACACACATGTCGTCCTGTCTGAAATGAAACCGGAACTCAACGGGAATTCCCTGTGCTATGCTGGTCTCCAAACAAGATGACAGCGTTTCGGACATTGCGTTGACAACATCTGTCTCTGTCTGGACATTCCGTTCATAAATGGTAAATTCACGAATGAACTGACGTGGTCGAGTTTTTTTATATCCTTCTAGAATATAATAGAATGAACTGGGCAGTTCCTGTAGATTTTATAACAATGCGACTGCTTTTTTTTAGTTGCTGCCGGACTTTCGTTTCTTATGAGGTTATTAATTTTGTTATTAATGTTATATTAATTCAAATGTAATTCATTTATTTGTGTTAGTTGGTACAGATGTGAAATCGTGTAATAAACATGGGGCGTATATTTACATTATTAATTGTACAAATCTGTTAAAAGTAAAATCAACGTTATCTCTTTGCTGTCTTTAACGTCAACTCTGTACTAAAAAAAAAAAAAAAAGGAACTTTAAAAGACTGTTTTCATATTGATTGAGATTAAATGAAACTTGCTAAAAGGGATGTAGAATAACACATTTATGGTTGATTGAAAACAAGTATTGGACATTCGGATAAATCTTTCATTTAATTTATCTGGTTTTGAAAACAAACAGCAGGTGTTTTTAATCAGTGAGAATGAGACAAGAGTAGCAATTAATATTAATAATAAATGATGAGACTGATTTAATTAAAGAGAATTGGCTCTAATGGACATATTGATCACAAAAAACATAATAAGGGCAGAGAAATAATGATAAAGAAAAAAGAGATAAAGCAGAAAATAAAGACACTAATAACACTGGATTATAGTACAAAAATTAAGGGACATTCCGCAAACTTCCGCAGTTGTTTGTTTGATTGTTCGTCGACCTCTGGACTCGAGTCTTGTTGCAGAACCTCAGTGTTGCGTGTACATCTGTTTTACAGATATGGCTTATTTGTATACAGACTCTTGGTTCCTCGTCTCAGGCAGATGGACTCTGAAGGATGCTCCCAGTTAGTCAACTCCTGTGACATGCTTTGATGAGGCAGTGGGTCCATTCTTGCTTTCCTCCTAATGTGGCTCCAGAACCCACATGGGAAGCCTCAACATAACATTATATTAGAATAGGGTTTCTAGAATTTGTACCTGGAGAATTCTCATGCAAAAAGCGACACTTTGCATCACAGGTGTTAAACGTTCAGTGTGCGGTCCTAGTGGGGTTTAACTTCCTCAATAGAGTAATAATAAATCTTTTAAATATAAAAACATAATGATGGAAAAGGTAATAATTATGGCAGCTTGGCTGATCATAAATAACATATTAACTGTCCAAAAAAAAAAAATGATGCTGATGAAATGATCATTTAAAAAAATTAATATGAGGATCATGGTGATGACTAAAGAGACAATTCCCTCTGTGGGTTCCGGGTCCCATTATGGGGAAAAAGAAAAAGGTCCATTGCCCTTCAGCAAGCATGTTGAAAGAGTAGACTAATTAATTATATCTCGTTCAAAATGGGAGTGCATCTATCTGAGAGATAAGGAACCAACAGTCTGCATAAAAACAAGCCATATCTGTAAAATGGACATGGACACAGAACTCAAGTTCTGGAACACACATAGCCCAGAAGTGGATGAACAACCAGAAATTTCTGCCAGACTCTACAGACATGAAAAAGAAAGAAGAAAAGTTACAGTTTTTGCTGACTGATTTTCGAACCCACCAGGACATCACATAATCACCTGGTGTCACAAAGTGCCACCATGTGCATAAGGATCACCCAGGGACAGGTCAAAGAAACCCTGTTCAATCCAACCCATAGTTTGTATAATATTAAGGCCCCTGACAACAGTCAGGGTGGGGCTTTAAAATAACAAAAAATTGTGTCCCACATTGCTGCCAAGTGGAAAAATATGAACAAGCTGATAATGCTAAATATGATAATACTCAAGGTTAACAAAGACGATTATGATAGCAATAAAGACGATAACAATATAAAAGAAAAAACAATGACAACAATACATGGCTTATGACAATTTTCTTTTAAGGATAAAGATGAGTATGATAATGGTAAAATTTTTTATTTTGTTCATTTTAATTTTAACAATGTTTATTAAGTTGAATCTCTGACTGCCGTTAAAAGAAGAAACCAAAATTTTGCCTCCCAAGTGTTTCCTTCAGGCCTTTTCGTGGTCCATAATACCACCAGATGTGGTCATTACAATGAAACCAAACTGCCTAGATGGCAGAAGGTTGTTTGTCCACTTCTCCAAGTCCCTGACAGACACGTCAAATCTGGGGCTGACCACACCTCACTTCTTTAATCTGCCTGTCAGATTAACGACAATCTTGCCAGCTCTGTGTGATCGTCAATCTGTTCAAACTCCCCAATGTAACCATGCTTCATCATGACAGTGAGAAATTTGATGATGACCTTTGACACTGGCCTTAGCAAGAGTTGGCGTTTGCCACGCTTTTCAGCCTTGGAAATGGAATTGAGAGCATCAACTAACACATTCATGCGCACCATCTTGGCAACCTTTGTGGTGATGGCTACATGATGAAATAGGAAATTTGAAGATCATTATATAGGTGAAGGAAACTGACTGACTTTCTACCCCACCAGGACATCACACAAGCGATAAACACCCAATGACACAATGTGCCACCATGCGGGGGAGGATCACTGTGGAGAGGTCCGAGAAACCGCGTTCAGCCTTTAGGCCATATTTATGGCCAGACTATATTGCGGCCCCTGGCAAAAGCCAGAGTAGGGCTTCAAATAATGAAAAATTTCATCCTAAAAAGGACGAGAAATATATTAATAAGGTATATAATAATGTGAAGGAAAAGGAGCAGTGGAAATATGTCATGACTGTGAACACCAAGAAAATCCTGAACAAAAACTGGAAATATTGATGTTGTTGTTGTTATCGATCCAGCGGCGCATGAGCTTTGGCCCAATGCCATGTAGTGGAATTTGCATGTTTTCACAAGCTGTTCTTTTCCTCCGTACAAGGTGTTCCACTTGTCCCTGGTCTCGGAGGGAGTAGCGTTAAGAAGACAGACATCAGTATAAAGGAAAACCATTGTTGTATTTAAGCAGAATTTTATTGAACTTCTTTTCTTGTGTGCAGTAGTTTTTTTTCAGTGTGAATTCACACTTTCAGTTCTAGATGATTTCACAACAGATGCACAGAGAGGGCAATAACTACAGTGAAAACTACATTAGTTGGTTACTTTCAAAATAGAAAAATATACTGTTTTCAAAAAATCTAGCCAGATTTGTTAAGTATACTCAACCAAACAAATATTGTGTATTAACACAGTGTGTATTACTTTACCCACATGTAATTTGTGATTACAAATGATGCAATGTTTTGGATAGAAAGTGTAAAAAGATAGTTAATATAGTTATGATGTGTTTTATTACTGTTGAATATATAGTGTTGTCATTTTGTGTTTCATCTGTATTTCAGTGTTCTGTCATTCTCTTTGTTTCAGTGCAGCCATTCCGCCTGTTGGTGAACATTAAGGTAAGAACTTGTAATTTTCCAAAGCCACTGTAGCATAGTGGCTAGCATGCTAGCTTGTCGACCTGGTGGTCATGTGTTTAAAGCCTAATGAAGGTAGAATTGTCCGAAGAAATCAACAGGGCTTATACCTGAAAATCCCCCCCCCCCCTCCCCCCAGTTTAAAACCACTACCCTAGGGTATGCAAAAGGATCCTTTACTTAATTTTTGTATTTTATTTTTATTGCTTGTTGAATATATTAATTTATAATATCAACGCTAGAATTTATTTTTGTATGAAGATTAGGTTTTCTGCTGCTTCTTTGGGGTAGTAAATTCACTTTATTTGAAAAGATGTTTGTTAAATGTCAGTATAGTTTATGTCTTCAGTTGTTAGTGTGTGTCTGCGTGTGTAAAATATAAATATATATATATTTTTTTGCTTTTTACATGGATTTTTCATATTTCATTTGAAAAGATGAAATTCTGAAGCTAGTGTCAATCTTTTCTATTTACCTTTTCTGCTTGTTGTCTTTTTAATGTATGCTACAAATCTCAAAATAGATCATCACCATGTAGCAAGTCCTTTACAGAATATCACTCTCACCACAGCCCATCTGAGAAAAACTCTTACCTCTTTTACTTTCTTATCCAAGATGTATTTTATATCCTATGCCCATCTTCATGCTGATTGATGCCAGCCCCTCTTTCTTGCCCTCCGCCACTATTCTTTCCAGTCCTCCATGATGCTTAATATGGCCAAAATAATTGAGTTCTGTGACAAGATGCTGTTTACTAGCCAATCTTCCTTGGTGTTTAGATCTTTTATGATGTCAGTATTTGTTTTCTTCTGGTCCCATGGAATTTTTCTATAGCATTTCAACACAAAACCTCCTATTCTCTTCCTTTATGACTGTGAGATAGTCCATGACTCACATCTGTATGTTGCTATGAGAAAGTAGCATGCTGTCAAAACTTTGACTTTGATTTCCTCACTGGTGCTTAGCAATGCAAGAGACATAATTGCAGATATTGATAGTCTATTTCAAGTGAATGAAACAAGAAGAAGAAAAATCTGGAAACATTTTCACATTGCTATGGCCATCCTTCTTTACACTTCAATTGAGTTATCTCCACTGCTATTTATTATGCTTCCTAGATATTTAAATCTTTGGAGATTTTCAATTAGTTCATCATTTTTTTGTTATTTTTGAGTGACAGACAGTTTAATCTGTTCACATTATTTTGTTCTTTAAATTCAGGAATAGGTTTAGATAAATATGGTTCAGCTTTGATATTTTTAAAAGTATTATTACATAAACATTGATGTATGGTTATGTGATCAATAGAGAGCCACCGTGGTGTAGCGGCTAGACACTTGCCTGGGGATCTGATGGCTGTGGGTTCAAAACTGCACGGATCAAGACTTTAAAAAAAAATTGCTCCCAGGTCAGTCCAGCTCTAAATGGGTACCAGGTAAAGTTCTGGGAAGTAAAGGCGACTGGCAGTGATGTTGACCACATCACCCACATAGTGCAGATAGGGCTATAGTATATAGGCTAGCACTGTATGCACAATATGTCTGAAGGAATGGAAAAGGGTCCCTTTTTATGTGATCAGTACCTAAAGCTTGAAAAAAAAGTCTTCTATATACATTTTTTCTGATGGTGCAATTTTGTGACTAATTTATCTTTGTCAATACTGTTTTAAATCCAAGCTGATGAAGATACAGTTAGTTTTAAATTAGTAGACTTATAGACTGAAAGAATTTGTTTGCTATCTGTTACATTTGAGGATTTCTTTTTTTGCAGAATGTGCCATAGTAAAGGGATGCAACTGCTGTTCATGATATGTACAGCCTATGCTGTAACTGTGAGTATTGTATTAAAAGGAAAACATTTAAGAAACTGTTTATATTTAAAAAGAATTTAAATATCTAGGAAGTATATTCTCGGAGGATGGATGAATAGATCGGGAAAAAGAAACAAGCCAGTTCACTTATATACTAACTGACACCGTTATTAAGACATCCAAACATAATGATGAATGCTAAGGAACAAATTACAAACAGCATATTCATACCAACACTGTGCTACCAGTACCAGAACTGGACATCAGAGGCTAACCTATGTAAAATTAACACCTGTGAAATGAGATGCCTGAGAAAAACCACCAACTTAACCATCCGAGACAAAGTTATAAATAATATTATCAAACAGACTGTAGTAACAACACCAGACAGTAAATTCCCTGAGAAACAGAAGATCAAATGATTTGGTCATTGAGTAAGAATGCAGCCAGAACAACTACCAACACAGGCGCTACACATAAAAATATCTGAAGTGAAAGCAAGAGGCTGCCCTAGGAGAACATGGATTGATAACATTAAAGAGCTTCTACATCGTCAGGGAATGACAATAGCCATTGCTGCCCATAAAAAAGTGGATCATAAACTGCTCCTCCCGACAACGCTGAATGGTAGAAGTTGAAATTGATGACAATGATGATGATGATCAATTCTAACAGAATTGCTTTAAAACTGACTAATGGTCAAATAGTTTAGTTATCTTATTAGAATGCAGACACAACGACCAACACAAGTACTACGCAATATAATTAATTTACTTATTTGATAGTACACTTACGATATGTTGAACTTGGCAATCTATACTCCTACAATCTAATACAATTATTGCATAAGTTATGCAGTATTGAATAACCAAACATAACTGATAGGCGTAAATACCCATTATTGAAATAGAAAGAAAAGACTGTATATTCTAATTATAACCCAGATGGGTTGAACAGGTGATTTTTATTACTACTACTACAGGCACTACACGGAATAAGATCTGACATGAGAGACCTAGAGAACGTCCAAGGAAAACATGGATTGATGACATTAAAGATATTATATATCCATATGGAAAGACAATGGGCCTACACAGGCACTGCATCTAATCATATATGATGTGACAGAACTAGAGGGTGTCCAAGGAGTAGATGGATTGATGCCATTAAAGACATTGTACATCCACATGAAATGACAATGACCAGGGCAACAGGAGCCCTAGGCCACACACTGTTCCTTCCTATGACACTTAATAACAAAAGTAGATGGTGGGGATAAAGGTGATGAATGGTTAACAAGAGTAACATAACAGCACTTCAGAGGAGAGGCTTGCGTGTGACGGCTGTAAGCGCTGCTTAACTGGGTTTTTTTTTTTTTGCAAAAAAAAAAAAAAGCCTTATTTTACTATTTATTATTACTGTTTACTATTTATTATTACTGTTTACTATTTATTATTACTGTTTACTATTTATTATAAAAAACCACTTGGTTTATGTCTGAAACTTAGCAAAAATATTGCTGGCTGCATGCTTACGCCATTTATGCAGAAACTGTAACGTATGAGACCTACCAGTTACAAGTACTGTATTGCTGTGCTAACTGTGCATGCATACTCTCAACAGTGAAGTCATGAAAATATCTTGTGATACCCTCTCCATTGTAACCGTTACCTGTTGAAGCTTACACATTCAAATTGATCACACTCGTCACTGCAGCACTTGTGATATGCCTCCCGGTATTCAGTCTCCTTCAGCAGATATTAAAGTGTGGTAATGTATGAGGATTGAATCAGAGGCAGCAGCTTCTGTGCTCTCTTGGCTCACAGGAACTATTTATGCTTGTGTTGCTGTGTCATCTAATTCACCATCAGTGATGCAGAAGATAAACTGAAGTTATTTTGATATAATGCCATTAAGGATGAAGTTGATGGCAGTGAGAGGCCTGAATGGCTGACACTTGAGCAACTTTCAGACAGACATACTTTAAGCTTTGCAAGTAATCATCGAATAATTAATGTGTAATGATATAGCAGATTCCAGTTTATCAAGAGTTGAGGAAAAGGCGCAAGCATTGGTTAGGACAAACACTGACAAAACCTGATAACAGTATAACTAGAAGAGTTTTAAACTAGAACCAGCAAGGGTATAGAAACAGAGGTAGACCAAAACACTTGGAAAAGTGAACTAAAGAGTGAAGTGACAAAGATAGGGAAGACTTTTGGTGAGTTATGTGCCATAGCAAAGGATAGAATGCCTTGGCATTAGTTGGTTGAGGGACTATGCTCCATTGAAGAATAAAAGGCAGAAAGATACAGCATTCAAAGAGACAGTGGTGTGCAGAACAAAAAGGAAACATATTGTTTGGTTGTAAAGAGGTGTTAAGTTTATACCTAACCAGGTTACCAGGTTATTGCAGGAAGGGACTTGTTTAGCACTTCTAAATGAATTGATCTAGCATTTATAAACATTAGTTACTTCACAACCCTGCAGCAGTATCTGACATGACATTCTGCAGTTATTTGATTAGACGTATGATGTTATCTTCACCTTCTCTTCAGCTTAAGTAAAGATAACAGTAGTGCAGATACTGCCATACCAGTGTGAAATATTCATCACTAAAGGGAAGCCCAGTTTATTTACTGACTGCCTTATTTACTGTCCAGACCTTCCCTATACCAATTTTTAGGAGGGTCAGTGTATCCCAAAGCTGAATATACCAAGAGATAAACTCCTTCCACTCTCAGGGATTAAATGCAAACTAATATTTCAGTAAGGAATCTATCAGATTATAATTTAAGGAGAATTTAGTAACCTCATCAACATCATCATGATCATGATCATCATCATGTGCCCTGCCAACTGGCGTAGGCGCTCATGCATCTCCCCAGTTGACAATTCCTGGTTGCCTCAAACAGCTCTCTTGATGTTATCTCTCCATGCCATCATTTTAGCCCATCCACCATCACTCTCTTGGTCTGCTGCTACCCCTCTTTCCATTGACCTTTCCTGTTGTCACGATGTTTTCCAATGCATCTCTTCTTATTGTGTGGCAAAAGAACAGTGTTTATTTCCTTCTTATTGTTGTATATAGAGATCTACTTTCATTAGCTTCTTTCAAACAATCATTGTTAGTTACTCTAGCCGTCCAAGGTATTCGTAACATTCATCTCTGAAACCACATCTCTGTTGCTTCCAAATTCCTTCAAATGGATACCACAATGTGGTGTTACCTTTTTCTTTGACATAACTGTTACTTCAGTTTTTCTTAATTTCTTATCACGTTACAAGTTTGTATCTTTTAAAAAGTTATCTGTTTAACAAAACACAAGTTGGGCATAGAGATAGTTACCTACAGATATAATATTATTTTACGTAACACATGTCTACTTTTTGTGTTTCAGGTAAATGGTAGAAGCATTATTCGTGTACAGCCTATGAGCACAGAAAGGGGATTTGCAGAAAATTCTGCATCAGAAGATAAAAATGGAGGGGGAGAGATTTCATACTTGCAGGAAAATCTCCACAAAAAATTCATAGCTCAGCTGAAATTAAATGATAATTTGGTTTGGAAACAAGATAGCAAAGGTTTAACTCAGCTTCTTTCAGGAAATGGTTTGGTTGAAGGAAAGAAACAGCTTCAAAGTTTGCCAGCTATTACTTGCACAAATAGTGGGGGATGTAAGCCTTGCCAACAGTGTGGGCCACAGGAAGTTGCTGTAATTCCCTGCAATTTCTCTAGGGATACAGTTTGCATGCAGTTGAATGATTCAGCTCAGTTCTGTGAGTGTTAGTTTCATCAATTAAAGAAACAATAAATTTTGAAGTTAGCAGCTATATTAGTAAGGTTTTGTTACTTTTACCAGATCTTATAATTTTCTCTTAAATCAAATTTTTACAAGTGAAAGTTCTCAGATTTCCTCTTGTATTTATTGATAGCCAGTGGTGTTAATGATTTATCATGAATCAACATTTAGACTACTTGCTGTACACTAAAAACTACTATCCTAACTTCATATTTAACTTTTCCATATGTGTCTGGATGTTTTGTAAATCCGTTTTCCCCCTTTAGTTTTTCCTGTCCAGGATTGTAGTAAGTAGGATTAACATCTCAAAGATGAGAAGCATACAGGTACAAATCCAGAAAACCCTGTTCAACTGTACAGGCATATAGCAGGGAACCACAATGAAGTAACCTCTGGTCCAGTGTGGGTGGGTCTTATATTGTGTAATTTCTTTAAAATAATGCTTCTCTGATTCTGACCCCTTTTTAAAATATATTCAGTTGCCAGGTTATCTTTTCTGAATTGTTATATCATTTTCTGATGTGTTGATGCTGATTATGCATTAATTGAGATCTGAATTTGTACAATGTGTAAATATTTATTGCTTTGTATTTAGCCTTTTATGCTAAATGTATTTATTACTCCAAAGCAATTTAGGTTTGGCAAATTAATTGTTTCCATTAGAATCTGTTATGTTAATTAAAGGCCAATCAGAGATGAATGAAGGCTCATAATTCAGAAGGAAAAGAAGAATTGTATTTTAAATACATTTTATGAAATAGATCACTTCTGTTATGCTTAATTTTTAAGTATATCCATCATCTTGAGAAAGGATATTGACTTTCCATACTGAACAGTTCCTAGTTATACAAAATTGCTATTCCCTCAAGGAATTTCAATAATATTTTCATAATGTACTTGTATCCTTATGGCTTGGTCATGACACACCTGCTATACTATACAGAGAAAGATGGCTAATTAACGCAGTCTGTTCAGGACTTTCATTCATGGAATGTGTAGCAATAAACAGAGAGTAATACAAAACCAGTGGCAGTCATTTTAATTTCACTGTTATATGCTTGCAAAGGATGAAGGAAGAAAAATTATAACTGAGAATAAAAGAGGATATAACCTGGAAGGCTAACCCGGTAAACAAATTCCCGCAGAAGTCGGATGTGTTGGTCGAAAGGTGCAAATATCGCAGCCATGCTGTAAACGGACACAATGCAGTTACATATTCGGATGATTGCAGAAGAAGAAGAGGATATGAAGAAAATATAAAATGATAATCAACAATAATTTTAAAAAAAGATGGCAGATGAAAGACTTAACAGCAGGCACACACACAAAAAAAAAAACTACTCATTGCCAGGCTTACATCAGATGGTAATTGTCAGCCATGACAGGTCATTATGGCTCCAATAATAATATGTTTGACATAACACAATTTGGGCATTGAGTGAGTTTTCATATGAAAAGGACAAACAGTATACAATTTCATCTAAGACAGATCACTTGAGACATGTGAGATCTTACCTAGTCCATGAGAAAATCACACAGTAATGAAATAAAACTCAAATAGAATAAAAACTGAAGAAGAAGAAAAAGCACAACAAGAAGAAGAAAGAATGAGAGGAATGCAAAGAGGAAAAGTGAGATAGAGGTGCAGTAAGAAAAAATAGGGAAAGACTTCACATAATTGTAATAACTGAATTTTTAAATATGGGAGATAAGAAAGCAATATATTTGTCCCTCTGGAGATAATAAAAAATGGCAACAAAGCAATGGTTACAAAAAAAAAAATATTAACTTTTAAAGGTAATCTTCTGCACTTGCTTTTCTTGAGTTAAGCTGCTTTATTTAAATGGAACCCCATCACATGTCATTTTAAATCTGATTTGCAGTTCCAGTTCCATTCTAGGAAAAAACAAATCAAAAACTCAACAGCGTTCAGCCTTCTGTTGGCAGGAAGCTGCCAGTTTAAATCTGAAGGTCAAATAATGCTTTTGTTGTGCTCTAGAAGATTTTATTTCACTTTCCAGTGCTATGTGTCGAATCTTTGGAAAGAAAAGACAATCAGCAACTGAAGAAACTCTGGCCTACATCAGAAAAATTAATAAACCTTTACTGGCTGCACAATTGTTCAAGATATTTGGCTAGATTGTCAATTCATTTAAAAAGTCAGTTATCTTCAGAAGCCAGTTTGGTGGGTATACATTGTTTTCAATTCTTTTTTTGTTTGTTTTGTGTAAATGCTTGTACAACAGGTATTAGAAACAGTAAAAAAAAAATAAACTCATTGAAAACATAATAATATATTATTTAGGTCTAGCTCTTTCAGGTAAAAAATTTTTCCTAGCGTTTGGACAGCATTAATTTTGAGCTGAATTTGTTAAGTGCAACATGAAAAAGCTAAAACCTTCCTGAAGGAAAAGTATTGGCTGTATAGTGACACATAATATATCATATTAAGGAGAAATGAATACAGAACACATCTAAACTATTTAAGGATCAGTATTACAACAACAAAATATTAAAATGAAACAACATTCAAGGATGTTAGACTCACATGAAGATGTTTTCAACATAAAATGTTGTGCTTACATTACTTTTTGTTAAATTTTTTTTTTAAACTTCACCAGCAACATTGCTATCCATTAGTAAGAATTCACATGCCTTCTCAATTCAGTTATCAGCTAGTCTTTATTTGAGACAATTAATCTAAATACTCTGGATTTATGACCATTTTTTTTTTAATATGTCAAATTTCACAACTGAATTCCGGACACAGCTGATTGAAACAGGGACAGTGCGATTGACATATTTTGTTTAACTTCATCCTAACCTCATCCTTTTATACTTACAATAATTAATCACTGTCTTGCTCACATTCATCAATAAAAGCACAGCATCACTTTTCTCTCTCTCCCCCAAAAAAGAAAAAATCAAAATTTGGATAAAAAACCAGCTCATTCCACAGACTGACACTCCTACCTTTCTTGTCATTACACTTGATTCGCGACTAACTTGGAAGTCACAAGTAGAAGCAGTACTGGGGAAAGCATTCAAGAAGCTTGCAGTGATGAAAAAATTTGTGGGTACCACATGGGGCGTCAACTCCAGAATCCTAAAACAAGTATATACTGGAGCAGTCAGGCCAGTCATGGAATATGCCTCCACTGCATGGGCTGCAGCAGCCAAGACAACAATGGGAAACCTGGACAAAGTTCAGAATATGGGAATAAGGATTGTTCTCGTAGCCATGAAAAGCACCCCCATCAGAGAGATAGAGAGGATAGCAGATACTGAACCACTCGAACTCAGAAGACAATACAAAACTCTTTTACGGTATGAGAAATTAAAAAGACTTGAACGTCATCTACTGCATTTTAAATTTCGAGAGAGAACAAAAAACAAACTGAAGCATCAGAGCCCCAACCACCTTGCTAGAGAACTGTACAGACAGCATCAAGATCTGCTTGAAAGTGATGTAGCACTGTGCGAAAAACTTAGGCCAGAACCATGGACAAGCAGGCCAGAGAAGGCAAATGTAGTCCTAACGGTACCAGGGATCACTTCAAAAGATGCCCAGACGGAGACACAACAGAGAACCCTGGCTCTTGCTTGGCTTGATGAGAAGTATCCAAACACCACTTGGACTCAGGTTTTCACCGACGGCTCTGCTACAGAAGCAGCCAGAAAGGGGGATTGTGGAATATACATTAAACCCCCTAGCAGTAGAGCAGAAAATCTCTCTCTACCAGCAGGTGACATCTGCACTAACTTCAGAGCTGAGGCAACTGCCCTTCTTTCTGCAGTCCAACATCTCATCAATCAAGAACACAAAGGGCACAAAATTGTTATACTTAGTGACTCATTGTCTGTTCTCAAAGCACTATCAAGCAAAAAAACAAGACAAACTAATTGCAGATCTAAGGACCAACATTGGCTTACTCTCCAAGGAAGCAAAACTGATCTTGCAGTGGATACCAGCCCACTGTGGTATTCAAGGAAATGAGAGAGCAGATGAGTTGGCAAAAGCTGGGAGTAATCTTCCACAACCTCATCCACCACACAGCTACAAGGAAACCAAAAAAAAAACAGCGCTAAAAGCAGTCTTTCAAGCGGGAGTGGCGAAGGCAGAATGTAGATTACAGACCAGAGAGTGACAGCATAAACAAACTCAACAGGAAAGAACAAACAACAATTTTTAGACTTCGGACTGGACACTGTGGTCTTCGAGCACACCTGTACAGGATAGGCATAAAAGAATCTGCTGCCTGTGATTGTGGAGCAGAACGACGGACTCCTGGGCACATACTACAGTACTGCCCTAACCTCTCCCAGCAAAGACTGGATCTGGCCCAAGGGAGCCACATTGAAAGAGAAGCTATGGGGGACCGGTGGCGACCTTAAACGCACAATCCTAATTGCGACCCAGACAGGACTCAATGTCTGGCATGACTGATGTCGAACGCAGAAGAAGAAGAAGAAAATTGTATTACACTGATTCAAAAAAAAAAAAAAAATATTAAATCTATTGCCTCACCTCGCTTGGAAAAAGCGACCCTTTCAAAATTAGGAAACATGAAAAAAAAAAAAACTACGGGATATAATTTCTTTCTAGCTGTTGTTGAAGATAATGAACAGCCTTTACATAGTTTATGTATCGTCATATTATTCCTATATCATGACCTTGTGCCAAAATACTTTGAGAAACATAGAGTTCAGAAAGTTTAAGCATCTTGTTACAATACAGCAAATGCAGATCACAGGGGCTAGACCTGAGAAAATCTGCTATAAGAGCAAGAAGTTGTGCAAGGAGGAAGTGGGAAATCAACGTGAACCCTTTTGACATGAGAAGCACCATAACCAGCACTTCCGGTATGTAAAATGGTTGTGTTTTTTAAAAGAAATATATTTTCCCAAATACTGGTTCTTGGCATTGGTTTTTTCTAGGTTACTGTAATGAAAGGGTTAAAGACATTGTGCATCCATCAAGCACTAGACTGCCTGCTATCTCTGCTCACAATGCTTGGTGGCAGAAGTGGATGTTAATAATAGAAAACTAAGAAATGGTTTGAACTGTGTTTTTTTTTTAAAACTTTAGAATTAAACTATATTTTTTTAAGCTTGGACGTCTCTTATTACTTTTTGGAGATGTAATTTGTTTATTGCTTTTGTGTGCGTTAATTTCTTCTCCAGGGAACTGAAAGAAAGACCAAACATTTTCCTAAACGGGCTGCAGAATCTGGAAGACAAGTTATTGAAAAAGAGAAATTCTCGTCAGGGAAAATTACCTCTCTTCCACCTCTAGGGAGCACCATAAACAAATGGAATTCACAAATCTTGTGAGTGTTATCATTTGTCTATCCTATTCTTTCTTTCTTACTCCTCTGCCCAGTCATAAAGGATAATCTACAGTCAATTTTGATGAGAGATGTCTTCTATGAAAATTTTTAAACTTAATATTATGAAGTTTACAGTCAAATCAACAATTTTGCAATGTTCTCACTGTCATATCATCTACCAAAGTCAGTTGCAACATTGACTGTTTGCTTTATAAATTGCACATTATTTTCGGTCATCAATTTTAGTAATTTTTCCAAGAGTCAAGTCAGGTGAATAGTTAAAAAAAAAGTAACCTATAAAGTAAATTAAAAATTAATAGTGCATTTTTAAAAATACAAAATAAAAGTAGGAAGAAATCCATTAAATCATACCACATCAATCTTATCTTTTGATTACACTATATTTTGTCATGGACAGCATAAATAAGAGCATTTAAAACAAAAATTACTCCTAGTGATAAAGAAACAAAAAATTCAAAAAAAATCATGAAGTAGTGCAGAAACTGTTTCCATCGTTCTTCTTCTTCTTCTGCGTTCATCCGAAGATGTAATTGCGTTGTGTCCGTTTACAGCGTGGCTGCGACATTTGCACCTTTCGGCCTACACATCCGACTTCTCCTGGCATTTGTTGACCGGGTTAGCCTTCCCGGTTGTTTCCATCATTCACAATTATTGAACACTTGCTCTAGAGCTTGGTTAAAACTAGGTAAAATAAAGTGGAGAAGAATAAGTGTTGGGAGCGTAAACTCACTGAACATAAAAATAAAATATTAGAAAGGCATAACAGTTGTGTCACACTGTGGCATTTGCAAAAAATATTGATTCCTGCCAGAAAAACAGTTAGTAGATGTTATTAGTTGAATATTTTAATTTGAAGCCTTTTTTCATTTGTCACAATGTCTTTTTTGAGAATGGAGGTGGAGGCAGCCACTGCTGCCTTTTGCTGGCTTGAGAATCAGCTGTACACACATGCCGTGATTGTAACTGACTAACTGAGCATGGTGAGAAAGGTGAAGACAGGCATGCTTCATGCAGAATGGCAAGCATCACTTCAGAGGACCCGAGTAGTTAGCATCCTTTGATATTTTTCCAGGTTATGCTGGTCTGTTGGGAAATGAGCAGGCAAATAGACTGGCTAGCTCTGCACCACTTGGTGGGGAATTGATGTATGACAAGCTAGACATTGTGAGGGTCCTCTGGGAGAAAGTGAACAGTGTGGATGCGCAAACAGATCATTACGGTCTGAGGAGAATGGCGCTGTGAGGAGTTATCAGGGGATCGGGCAGAAGCTCAACACTGAGGGAAAGGGTGTGTCGGATATACAATCAGACAGTTACTAGTGCCATCCGAATTCAAACTCTTTGTTTGCTGCTGAAGATGGGGACGGAGTGCTTATAGGGGTATCCCGAGTGCTGTGATGTCAATTCTTAATTCAACATTTGAAGCCTGATGGAACTGCCTGAATGCCATGGCCTGATAGTGCCAGACATGGTTACTCATAACAAACCTAAAAAGATAATTAGTAACCATGGAAATGAGATGTCTTAGAAAGGCTGCATGAGTGACCAGAAAAGCTGAAGTCAGAAATGAGGTCATAAGAGAAGAAGCTGGCATAGAAAAAATTCTCAAGTACATACAGAGACACGAAACTCCCCGTGTGGGTTCCGGGGCCCCATTATGGGAAAAACAAGAATAGACCCACTGCCTACCCAAAAGCATGTCGTAAGAGTCGACTAATTGGGGAGCTTCCTTTGAAGTCGGAGTGCATCTGCCTGAGGGGCAAGGAACCAAGAGTCTGCATTCAAGTGAATCAGATCTGTAAAACTGATGCACACTCAATACTCAGGTTCTGGAGCAAGACTGCAATTCAGAAGTGGACGAACAACCAGAACTTTCCGTTAGAGTTTAAAGCTGGTGAACGAGAAGAAGAAGAAGAGACATGAAATCAAATGGTTTGCCAGCTTAGAGAGAATGCCTTGTGAGGCCATACCATACACCAGAAGAGGAGCTGAAACTAGATCAAGGTTTCACCAAGAACAAGATGAAATGATAACAACAGAAAAACTACAAGAGCATGTGTGTTTATGGTTGAGGAAGAGCAGAATACAGAACTTTATATCTCCCTCAACACCTGAAGCGGTAAAAGAGGAAGTCAAGCAGAAGAAGAAAATAGTGGTAATTGTATTATTAAGACCAGCATGATTATGGGAACTGAACTTTTTGGAAACATGATTTGTCAGTGTTTAGAGGCTATATTTTTAGTCTCAGAACCCTTTTCACACTGATGTTGATGGGCATATGATGCTAGTCTTTTTTTTTATAACTTTAAAAAACAGTATACAAATGGGCACTGGAAGGGAGATGTCATTAACATCCTTGCGGCTGTCTTGACTTGACAGGACTTTACCTGGTAGCCATTTTAGGCTGGGTCAACCTAGCATCAAGTTCGTTAAGTCTTCATGTACCAGAAGATTTAACAGGGTATTTTCAAGGGTAACAGTAAATATAAGCAGTTCCCTGTGTGGGTTCCGGGACCTCATTGTGGGGAAAACAAGAAAAGATCCACTGTCTCCCCAACAAGCATTTCATAAGAGTCAACTAAATGGGTGCTTACTTTGAAGTCGGAGCACATCTGCCTGAGAGGGAAAGAGCTATCTGCATACTAATGAGTCAGATCTGTAAAATGGATATGCATGCAACACTCACGTTCTGGAGCCAGACTAGAGTCGAGAATTGGATGAACAAGCAAAACTTTCTCCCAGAGTTTACAGCCGGTGAATGCGAAGAAGAAGTATATAAACAGTTACTGTCACAGATGTAGCAATGCATTTCCTAGCTTAGGCGAAACATAAGACCACATTTTTCATTGCCTGGTAAACAGAGGTGTTAGCTGATAACACATAGTGCGTTGGCTGGGACAAAAAGAGTTAAACAAATCAGATTCAAATTCAAGACCTGAAGGCTGACAGGCGAATGTCTAGCCACTATGCTACAGCCAGTCTCCAGACTATATTTTGCCTGACATTATAATAATTAATTAAATTTATTGACACTGCTAACTGTGTTGCTTTTTTTGCTTTTCAGAAGTTCAAATGAAACAGAACAAGCATTTACAACTTATCCCCCTCAGTTGGCTCAGGCAGATTCCAGTAGTACAGGTAAGGAAAACATGAATTTATGCTAGCCATTGCACATCCCCCCCCCCTCCCCCCAAATGCAGGCATGCATGAGATAAACAATTATCCCCATATCTTGTTGCATCAATTCAAATGTTTCAATGGCGCCTTTTTTAAAAAAAGTTTTAAAAAGAATAAAATGTTAGCTTTTTTTTTGCTCTGTGCTGATTATGTAACAATGCACCTCTGACTAGGTCAGCAAAATGGAAGCTTGTTTGTTGTCTGCTTATCGAGCAGCGATGAAAAGTTACCAGATCATAGATGAATGTTGCCTCTTTAGAATCCATGCTTTGCTTCATAGATGACATTTTCGTCTTGGCCATAATAAATTCAGTCTCATTGCCTAATTGTCTTACCTTATATATATATATATGTATATATATATATATATATATATATATATATATATATATATATATATATATATATATATATATATATATATATATATATATATATATATATATATATATATATAGAGGCCCAGCTCGCTAGCATAGTTGGCTAAACCTGACACCTGACTCATGGTGATCGGGTGACGAACTCCTTGTGGTCCGGGTTGTAGGCAGAAAAGCCACCTTTCTCCCAGATTTACAGTACCTATCATGGAATCAAGGCCTAAGGGTTGCGATATCCATAGTACCGAGCCAAAAGGTTAACAACTCATGGTTTCTGGATACTTTAAAAAATAAAAATTTAGAGAGAGAAAGAGAGAGAATATCATATTCTTCCACAAACACGCTCACTTATATTCTTGATAAGTTCAAGAACATATCATATTATTATTATTATTATTTTGATAATTTTAATTTTGACAGTTACATTTTTTGTCAGTTCTGTTTTAATTTGCTAACATACTTTGGTTGCAAAGAATAAAATGTGATACATATTATTATGTACACTTTACAATAAATTTTTTATTGGCAGCTCCATGGGTGTTTATCACAATTGGTGTCACAGTCTTGGTTTTGATTGTTTTGGTAACTTCACTGATTATCTACAACCGAAGCAAACAACTGACTTCCAGAATAAAGTCATTTAACAAAGGTGGAAATGCAGCACACACTAACAGTTTCATGTAAGTTTTTCTTAGTGACATCTGTTTCCGGCTGAATGATGTTGGTTATGTTGTGTCTGTGTGACGCTGTGCTTCAAGATTGTTACTCTTTGGTCAGCACATCTGACTTGAGTCTGTTTTTTGGAGTTTCTTTTCAGTTCCGTACAACTTTGAGTACAATGCTGACTCAGTGGGCCAGCATTCCATTCTTAAGGGGCTGTACAAGGGACATTCTTGCAGGACATATTCTTTAATTAGCACACACAGCCCAAACAGGCACATTGGTCAACTACCACCTGGTCTGTGGTTCTGCTGATCGTATATAAAATAACTAATAGCCGCTGATGCTTTTTGGCGTGGATCATGATGTTGATGATATTTCTAGGAAGAGGGAGGTGCTGGGCAATTTTTTTTTTCTTTCTGTTAAGGGTGCAGAGGAAACACTCACTTAGCTGAAAACTGTGCATATGCTTGTTAAGTTTGTTAGGTCCTGACGCGTGCCGATGCCGGTCATGTAAGTGACAATCATCTCTGGCCCAATTGTGTTCACTTCTGATAGATTTGATGGCCCTTTTCTTCCTAAAGTATGTTACTATATTCTCTTCCTGTTTAGATTCTGCTCCTTCCTTGTAAGTTTATATGCGGTTTCATTTCCTGGTATACCACAGTGGGATGGCACCCACTGGAGTACAGTACCCTTTTGGGCAGCCACATTGCTGAGTTCAGATCTCAGGGGAATGAGTTTACCACTCTTAAGAGCTTGCTTGGAGCACCGACAATGCATCTGTGAAGATGACCACTTGGTGGCAGTCAGAACTGGTGTTGTGTTCGGCAGCCTGCACTAGTGCCATGATCTCTGCTGTGTAGTTGGAACAGAATTTACCAGTGGGCATATACTTTGTGCCTCAGTGGTTGTCTGGGTATGCGGTTTAGGCATGTCTTTATTTAACCTCGCATGAATTTTACAGTATTTGCCATTTTATTGCCATTGTTTAAGAGAATGAATGGAGCTGGGTTGGGGGGGGGGGGGGGAGGAGGGGGGTGTTTAAACAGGTTTGGCATTAAGATTTAAAAAAAAAATGCTCTTCGACTAGCTGAGGTTGCAAGATGACAGGATTCACATCGGCCACACAAATGGTGGTGTACCAGGGTTCATACTGGTCAACATCTATCTACATGAGTAGGAGAAAGTAAAGGGCCTCGCGCTCTGAAAGTTAAGGGTTCATTTCATAGCTACGCCGTTGAGTTCCCAAGTGCAATTTTTATGGAGATCCCTGGAGATCGTCGCCAGGGCTACAGAGTTCATGCTCTGTGTGGCACTCTCGGCAGGTAGCCAGCCGTTCTGCGGAGAGAGACTGAATCATATGGGATAAAACCTTGTGCAATGAAGTCAATCCTCTCCACTTTAACCCTTAACCTTAGAGAACCTTATTTCACACTTTCATGAGAGATTGGGTATATGGGGCTGACCAAATTTTCTTTAAATAGACCGGTCAAAATGTGACAGGTGATGTGGTTACTATCACATCAACTACTTTTACTTCTTGGGATATTTCCTGGCATTCATTTTATTTTGTATAAAAGATGAGTGAAGTGAGAGACTAAGATTTGAATCCTCAATAAAGTTGTAGATTTTTCTGTCAGGGTCAAAAATAAAACCCCTAACCTTCACAGTCTGTGGCGCCACCACTAGCCATGTGTCCCTAAATCCCCAGGTTCAAAGACCCAACCCCCCTCACACAAACTTGGTAAATACAGGCGTTAAGGGCAGTTAAAGAATAAGCTCAAGTGAAAAAAAAAAAACTACCCTGGATGGGTATTTGAATATGGGACAGTACAGATGGCAGGTAAGCATGTAAGTTACCGCAAGATCTAAAAAAGATGTTTTAGCCAAAATTTTTTCTTCAGACTAGAAGGACATGAGAACTAGAAGCTCATATGGACAAACAGAAACAAAGAAAAATGCAGATGAAAACCGGAACATTGACCTGATCTGTGACTCAAGAAAAGTTGTGAGATTGTGAAATGTAACAGCCACATTTATCAGCACAACACATGATGATGATATTTGGAGAGCAATGTTTATTGTGGATTTATGATAATTAATGTTGTATATGTTTATTTAGAATATTTCAAGACTGACTGCTGACTAATATTAGAATATATATCATTTAAAAAAAATAGTTTTTCATTTTGTGAATAGTAATGCTTTCAGTATTTGAAATGCATAAAATACACACAGTTATGCATGCTTTCAGCACTCACAGAATATATAAAATAAATTGTCTTTTTTTTTTTTTTTATGTGAACCCACTATTTGCAGCAACAACTCCTTGCACAATGTGCCTATTGACAAGCATATTATTGACAACAATATGGTCTCAGTCTGTGAGGCAAGCAGTTACGATCAGGGAGAAGATAATGAGAGTGTTCCATTGCGACTCATTTCTTCTAGGAACATTTCACCGCCAGAAGACGTGTTCCTCTCTAGTGGTATGTAACACTCTGTTAAAACAAGTATCTGTCTAAATGAAAATTAGAAGTAATTAGCTTCACAACATCACCATCACAAATAATAAAATAAATGTTGCAGCTAAAATGACATCATCAGCAGAAGACACACAAATGGGCAGCACTCAGTAAGCTGAGGGATATTAACTGAAGTAGTATATACTCATCTTGGACAATTAAACAATTTTTTTTTAATGCAAAATAAAGACACATTTTTGATGTAGAATTTGTCATCCTTAATTTTAGCAGTACCTTTGCATTGTTGAATGTGAATATTGACCTGTATTGATAACTTGAACCCCAGGTTCAAATGCTCATTTAGTTGGTGGATAGTTTTTTTGTAGGAAAAAAAAACCTAACCTACACTAGCCATGCTGTCCTAAATCTTTAATTGAACTCAAGACCACAGCTGTCCTTCATCCTCATAAAATGGGGTCAATACTTCCAGTAAAGACAATTTAACAAACTGATTGCTTTCTTACATTTGCAGTTCAGCATTTTCTGAAGTGTTTCCAGTATAAGGGGACACTACCACATTATCTCCTAGAAACTTTAAATGGATGCCAGAATTTGTTTTTACTTTTGAGATCGTGCATCTTTCCCCATGGCAACTTACAGATTTGAGTCACAGATTCTCACTTTTAGAAGAAGAAAATTGGAGCCTTTCACACAAATATTCTTCAAATGCTGTGGACCAAGAAGAATAAAAATGTTGACATCCTGTATGATCTGAACTTTAAGACTAAGAAGAACTGCCTCATTAACAGCATCCTCTCTGCCAAGCTAAGGTATTTTAGACAAGTCAAGTGTCGTGGTGGTCTGGAGGGAACGGTGATTGAGGGCGTAGATTCCAAAAAATGAGACAGAGGCCAACTTCTCAAAAATACAACATACAGGACATTGAAGCTGGTTGGCTATGTAAGCACAGAAGGCTGGAGAACTGGCTATGTAAGCACAGAAGGCTGGAGAACTGGCTATGTAAGCACAGAAGGCTGGAGAACTGGCTATGTGAGAGCACAGAAGGCTGGAGAACTGACTATGTAAGCACAGAAGGCTGGGAGAACTGTTGTAAGCAGAAGGCTGGAGAACTGGCTATTTAAGCACAGAAGGCTGGAGAACTGGCTATGTAAGCAAAGAAGGCTGGAGAACTGGCTATGTAAGCACAGAAGGCTAGAGAACTGGCTATGTAAGCACAGAGGCTGAGAACTGGCTATGTAAGCACAGAGGCTGGAGAACTGGCTATGTAAGCACAGAAGGCTGGAGAACATGTAAGACAGAAGGCTGGAGAACTGGCTATGTAAGCACAGAAGGCTGGAGAACTGGCTATGTAAGCACAGAAGGCTGGAGAACTGGCTATGTAAGCACAGAAGGCTGGAGAACTGGCTATGTAAGCACAGAAGGCTGGAGAACTGGCTATGTAAGCACAGAAGGCTGGAGAACTGGCTATGTAAGCACAGAAGGCTGGAGAACTGGCTATGTAAGCACAGAAGGCTGGAGAACTGGCTATGTAAGCACAGAAGGCTGGAGAACTGGCTATGGAGAGAGACTTTTGGGTGTGTTGTGGAGAGAGGGAGAGAGAGACTTTTGGGTGTGTTGTGGAGAGGTAGAGAGAGACTTTTGGGTGTGTTGTGGAGAGGTAGAGAGAGACTTTTGGGTGTGTTGTGGAGAGAGGGAGAGAGAGACTTTTGGGTGTGTTGTGGAGAGGTAGAGAGAGACTTTTGGGTGTGTTGTGGAGAGAGGTAGAGAGAGAGACTTTTGGCTGTGTTGTGGAGAGAGGGAGAGAGAGACTTTTGGGTGTGTTGTGGAGAGAGACTTTTGGGTGTGTTGTGGAGAGAGGGAGAAAGAGAGAGAGGGAGGGAAAGACTTTTGGGTGTGTTGTGGAGAGAGGTAGAGAGAGACTTTTGGGTGTGTTGTGGAGAGAGAGAGAGAGAGAGACTTTTGGGTGTGTTGTGGAGAGAGGTAGAGAGAGACTTTTGGGTGTGTTGTGGAGAGAGGTAGAGAGAGACTTTTGGATGTATTGTGGAGAGAGGTAGAGAGAGACTTTTGGGTGTGTTGTGGAGAGAACGATGTTCCGTAAAGGACACTCTGATTGATTGTTTCCAATATATGCAGAGGAGAGAAAACGGGTTTAGCATCTGCTGGCATCTTTTAAGCACATACTCAGTGAAGATGTAAACAAGCTCAGACTGACTGCAGGTTACTTTAAATTTATTCAGGCTGAAGGTTTGCAAAGAAGAAGAAAAAGAAAAAGTAGTAAGTAAAAATGTAAAACATCATTTTTTTAAAAATGTTAATGGCATATCAGGCATATGATACCAGACTCACATTTGTATTGATCAGTGGGCAGTCTGTGGTGGGTGGTCTGGCCAGCATCATTCCGGACACCTCTACTTCTCTGAAAATTACCTTTACCCATTTTAGGCTGGACTGGCTTGGAAGCTGAGGTCAGATTGTGCTTTAATAATAGGTGCACCTTCATGTACATTAGGGGCTGTAACAAAAAGGTTTCAACCATATCTTTTAATATACTAATTACATGATAAATAGTATATTAAAAGACATGGTTGAAACCTTTTTGTTACAGCCCCTAATGTACATGAAGGTGCACCTATACATCACTCATTCACCAGAGGCCAGTAGAGGAGTGCCTAGCCATTATCTTACATCAGCTCCCAAGAAGAAGAATAAACATTAAAATAACCACCACAGGACATGTTTTAGTCATATAAACAGTCTGTTAAATAATGTGCTTAAAACCTGTTTGTTACAGCTCCTCAAACACATGAAAGAGCATCTATACATCACCCCTATGCCACAGTCATCAACAGGTCAGAGCCTCCTTGTGACAGTGGCTACAGTCGTCTGCTGTCATGCATCTAGTGTTGGGGAAAAAGAGACCAATGTTAAAAGGGCTTTGTCTTCTTCCAGTTTATTCAGTACCCGTCAAGATGATGGGAACAAGCTGAAAGGGGGAAATGGAGATTTCCAAAGAAGGTGAGAGTAATGTTCTTTTAAACCAGTCTCAAAATCCATGTTTTAAACTAATAATGTATTAGTCAACATTACATTCATAGACACAGTTTTGCTGGATAGACAGTCCGAAAAATGGTTATGTTTAGACTGTTATGAGGCCATATAATCCAAAGAATTGTTACATCTAGACTAAATACAAGGTCTGACAATTAAGTAATGAGACTGATTTTATTATGGCCAAGACAAAAATGCCATATATAAAGCAAAGCATAGAATCTAAAGAGACAACATTCATCTATGATCTGGCAACTTTTCATCACCGCCCGATAAGCAGACAACAAACGGTCCGCCATTTTGTTGATCTAGTCAGAGATGCATTGTTACACAATCAGCACGGAGCAAAAAGCCAACATTAAATTCTTTTTAAAACTCAGAAAAAGTGCCACTGAAACAGTTTAATGATTCAGCAAGTTTATGGGGATAATTGTTTATCTCGTGCACAAATTTTCAGGTGGTATTCACGATTCAAAAGTGGTGTAGAAATGATTACTAATGCACCTAGACCTGGACGCCCAATTTCTGTTTGTAAGGATGAACTCATTGCAAAAGTCTGAGAACGTATACAAAAAGATCATTGTTTTACTGTTAAGATTATGGCAGATGAATCTGGTGGTAATAGAGAGACCATTCATAAAATTTGCATTTGAAATAAAAACAGGTGTGCAACAGGGATGTCTTTTGTCGCCTCTCTTATTTTTACTGGCTATAGACTGTATTATAAAAACAGTAACTGCTAACACCAAGAATGGAATGGAGTGGACCCCTAAAAAACAGCTTGATGATCTGGACTTTGCTGATGATATTGCTCTTCTGTCCGATTCACGGAATCAGATGCAAGATAAATTAAATATACTTGATGCGAGATCACAGCAGCTTGGTCTGAAAATCCATAAAGGAAAGACAAAGATAATGAAAATAAATCAGGAAAATAGTAATGTAGTTTCTCTTAATGACATCCCACTCCAAGACGTGGAGTCATACACCTATTTGGGCAGAAATGTAGATAAAGATGGAGGAACTGATAGAGATATTAAGATAAGAATACAAAAGGCAAGAAAGGCTTTCATAGCACTAGGTAGTTTGTGGAGGTCAAAATAAATTAAAAGAAATACTAAACCAAAATTTGTAAATTCTAATCTCAAATCAGTACTATTGTATGGGGCGGAAACATGGAGAACAGCTAAGGCAATTATTAATAAATTACAGACATTCAATAACTGGTGCCTGTGCAGAATAGAGGGAATTAAATGGTATGATAGAATAACTAGTGTAGAACTTTGGGAGAGAACTAAACAGGCTCCAGTGGACCAGGAGGTGAGGAAAAGATGCTGGTGTTGGATAGGGCACACACTGAGAAAACAGGAGAACATCATAACTAGAATGTCTTTGCATTGGAACCCACAGGGTCATAGGAATAAAGGAAGGCCAAAAAACACATGGAGAAGAGAGCTGGAGAATGAAGTTAAAAAGATGGGGAGGACATGGGGAGAGCTCCATGCAATGGTGAAGGATAGAACGACTTTGCGTGAGTTGGTTGAGGGCCTATGCTCCATTGGGGGATAGAAAGGCATGAGAAGAAGTATTGTTACAACACACTGGTTGTATACTGTATAGTCTAGATAATTGTTACAACACACTGCTTGTATACCGTATAGCCCAGATAATTGTTACAACACACTGGTTGTTTACTGTATAGTCCAGATAATTGTTACAACACACTTGCTGTATACCGTATAGACAAGATAATTGTTACAACACACTGGCTGTATACCGTATAGCCCAGATAATTGTTACAACACACTTGTTGTTTACTGTATAGCCCAGATAATTGTTACAACACACTCGTTGTTTACTGTATAGCCCAGATAATTGTTACAACACACTTGTTGTTTACAGTATAGCCCAGATAATTGTTACAACTCACTGGTTGTTTACTGTAAAGCCCAGATAATTGTTACAACACACTGGTTGTTTACTGTATAGCCCAGATAATTGTTACAACTCACTGGTTGTATACTGTATAGCCCAGATAATTGTTACAACACACTGGTTGTTTACTGTATAGCCCAGATAATTGTTACAACTCACTGGTGTATACTTAAGTAAAGTTAAGCATTCAGACGTAATGTGTGTACAGAGCTAAACCTATATTTTACAGACAAATCAGCACTTGGTGGGTGATATGGTCAGCATCGTGCTGGCCGTCTTTACTTCTTAAGACTTTAGGTGGTACCCATTTAATGTTAAGTCGACCTGGGAGCCAAGGTTATATTTGAAAAAAAAAAGTCTGGGTCTCCGTCAAGGTCTGAACCCACGACTTTCCAATCCACAGGCGTCTAACCCCTACACTATGGCAACTACCAGTTGTATACTATGGGTGGTACTTATTATATAGTCCAGAGAATTCTTACACTCATATCTATACTGGGTATGTAATAGTCCAGAGCATTGTTACATTCTGACTGGTTGTAGAAGTCATAGTGATTATGCAGTCCAACAAAACTTGGGGGGGGGGGGGGGGGGGGGGGGGGTAAGTATGAAATTATAGAGTCACTACCCTTTAACGAACATATTGTAAAAGTCAAATAATTAAGAGCTTGCTGAAATCAGATGTGTTGCCTGATATTCAGAGATATTGCAACATAGTATTTGTAGCATCATTCTCAAGACTGTAGAGTGAAACATTCCCTCTTTGTCTCCTGCAGATATGTAGACATGGACTTTGTAAATGACATTGATCTACCAAAGCGCAAATATCGACCTGGAGCCACCAGGGGCCCTGATCCAGACTCTCCTGCAAGAAAGTCCAGTTTCAGGAGGTTTTATTCACAGACTTCTGACCAGGAGTACCACAGAATGGTCAGGTACAAGTCTTCAGATCGTGCCAGAAATGGGAGCAATACAAGCTCATCAGCTCGCAGTTACATCAGGTAGTTCCAATTATATTTTTGTTGCTTTTACTCAGCTGTTTTTAAAATGTGAGTTTCCTTTTTCTTTTTTTCTTCGTTATTTGTTGATGTGGGCATAGTTATGATAATTTTTTTTTAGATTTATACTTTATTACAAATAAACATTTTCTATTTAGCTGTGAATTTCATTTCGTCATGTATATGATAAAGACTAGATTTGGTAAATTCCCACAACAGAACACATCAACGTGTTTATTTATGTCTCAATAGCTGTATAACCAAATAGTTTCTTCCGTAAAAAAGAAAAAGGACTGTTTTTACACCAGTGCTGCATCTTTCTTCTTTCCTTTGTCGTCTCACTGTTGCCAGGTTGTAGCCCAGTGTTGTGGTTTTCTGTGTTTGTCTTGCGCTTCTCGGGTGGCTTGGGTGATGGATTTGTTCATCTTTTTGCAGGTTCAGCAACACAATTTCTCCATCTCTTTCTTGGTCTTCCTCTCGCCCTCCTCCCAGATGTTCTAATGTAAAAAGTCTCATATGCAGTCTGGACTGGCTGCATTCTCACTATATGGCCGAACCATTTTATTCTTCTTCTGTCAGTAAAATCCAGATTGGTCTTATTTCACCTTTAATGCTGGTATTCCTAACCCTGTCTCATCTAGTGTTGTTAGTAACCTTGCGGAGACAGCACATTTCATGTGTAGTTATTTTCTGTTCTAGTGCTGTATTCATTGTCCATGTTTGCCACTGATAACATGAAGTAGGGATAAAGATGCTATTACTCATTTGCTGTTTTACTGGAAGGGAGACATTTGGGTGTCTAAGCAGTGGGGCTAACTGGTAGGTGACAGCATTTGCCTTCTGTACTCTGGCTTCTATCTCTCTATCAAGTCTGCCATCCTCCGAAAATATGCTTCCTATATATTTGAATTCTCATACTTGTTTGATTGTAGTACTGTTAACATGAATGTTCATGATATTATGTTTCCTGCCTATCCTCATTACCTCAGTTTTGCAGTGTTTATTTTTACACATGTCATATTTTGTGCAGGCTTGGTATAAGGATTCAGTATGGTGTTGTAAATTCTGTTTTTGGTGGTGTATTAGACATTGGTCATCTGCAAAAAGAAGTTCATTGATTTCTTTAGTGTCTGTGTTTGCTTCCTGTTTTATTCTATCCATGTAAGTAATGAATAACAATGGTGAGAGGACACATCCTTGTCTGACACTTGATGAGATAGGAAACCAGTCTGTCATTCCTTCTTTTGTTCTTCTGTTTGTTCTTTGTTCAATGCTACATCGGGCATATGATTCTAAACTCATTTGTAATAGACTTATCATGACTTGATTGGTGATGTAGTCAACATCACGCTGGCTGCCTTTACTTCTCAGGGCATTACCTGGTATGCATTTTAGACTGGGTTGACTTAGGAGCCAGGGTAATTTAAAAAAAACAACAAAAAAAAACAACCTTGATGCAGATTTGAACCCTAGACCTTTGGGCCGGAAGATAGCATCTAGATACTAAACCAGCATAGTTACACTCATCTGTATTACCAACTGTGTAATTATAAAAACCTTTTCTTGGGAACAGTCAGTGATAACTTGGAATGATTGCTGCATCAGAGGACTGATTGGGAATGCCCATGCGCAGTGATATGGATTGTGATAACATAACTAAACATCTATGTTACATTTATGTCTGCGGAATACATAATGCCATAATGGTAGTTAATAGGTTAAATTTTTCAGTCTCACGCAGGTATTGCTTAATGCATTGATTCTTAAGTATTTGTTTCAATCTACAGCCACAGTTGTTTTAATCAGAAGTGGTTAAAATAGGCACAAAAAAGGCACCACAAGGGGTAAAATAACACGAGTTAACACAGGCTGTCATAACAGCTACTTGAAGAATAAAGTATTTAGAAAAGGCATATCATATAAGGAGTAACTAGTAAATGCATGGTGACTTGAATGGGACTGAATGAGTTAACCCTGAACTTATTTTCTACTTCTTCTTCTTCTGCCTTTCAGTTTTTAGTGGTTCCTAGACTTTAACTAAGTCCAGTCAAACCAAACCCTTTCTAGACGTGTTCACACTTGATTGGATTTTGCAGCCAGAGTTTTTCTGGAGGATGAGATAGCGAGTTTCACACCAATCCCATATAATTTTATCTTATCACATGCATGGTTGGTTACATTGTCACTGTTCACTGCGTCCATTATGAACCACAGTAACACACAGGTTCATTTATCCCCACCCCTCTTTCCCTGTTATCAGTTTCCATTAAAAACAATTAATGAAGCAATTAAGAACTGACATTACTGCACTTAGGACATTCCCATATGTGCTCCGTCTCCTTTTTCAGCAGCCAACAAAGAGTCGACATGCTAACTGCACCAGTTGCAACCTGATTAAAAGTCTGCCTGTGTCCCCGCTTCAGTGTTAAATATCTTCTAGAATAGTGATCACCAGTCTTTTATAGGTCGCATCCCTTCTTTCCCCCCCACCCCACCTTTGAGTATATGGCAAAACTCCCATGCTCCCTTGAGTATATGGCAAGACACCCATGCTCCCTTGAGTATATGGCAAGACTCCCATGCTCCCTTGAGTATATGGCAAGACTCCTATGCTCCCTTGAGTATATGGCAAGACACCCCCCCCCCCCCCCCCCCCCCCCCCCCCGCCAGCATATTAAAATATGATTAGGACAATGATTCTGCAACAAGGGAAATATAAAATATGGATATATGTTTTGGTCAGATTGTGCTGTTAATCAATAATTTAATTCACATATTAACATATTAACTACATTTTAAATGGTAGATGTACAGACTGCTCATGAAAAAATGTCCATGTCATTTTGTTTGATAACTAGTTTTAAAAATATTTTATTTATAAATAAACTAATACGAAATGTAAGAATGACTAATTATCATAAGTACAAATGCACTTACTTTCAAAATGGCTTAAAGCCTCCTAGCATCTCCCCCCCCCCCCCCTGGGATTTTAGACCACTGTTTTAGAACCTCTACTCACCCCAGTTGAATTAGTAGTTACCATTAATATTGCGGTATTAGTGATATTGTAATCAATTTTTCAGTATTCCTCCAACATCACCATCAGAGAACTACGTTGAAGCTGGATCAGATGATATCTCCATGCGTTCAGAGCGCAGCACTCCCCCTGTTAAAACTGCCTGGCTGACAAAGAATCTGAAGGTTGATGCAAGAAATGAACTCTGGAACTACCATACCAGCCTGGGAACACAAACAGAGAATGATAGTGATGTCACATCTCCTACATGCAAAACAGGTAGGTATCGAATGTTTCATATTTTTGACTATTTTTGTTGGAGGTTAAAAACAAAAATTCTTGCTTGCTGCATAGAACCACCTTTTTAACATGCAACTGTGAATCCTGGTCAATTAGTAACATGCAGATGTGAATCCTGGGCAATTAGTAACATGCAGCTGTGAATCCTAGGCAATTAGTAGCATGCAGCTGTGGATCATGGGCAATTAGTAACATGCAGCTGTGAATCCTGGTCAATTAGTAACATGCAGCTGTGAATCCTGGGCAATTAGTAACATGCAGCTGTGGATCATGGGCAATTAGTAACATGCAGCTGTGAATCCTGGTCAATTAGTAACATGCAGCTGTGAATCCTGGTCAATTAGTAACATGCAGCTGTGGATCATGGGCAATAAGTAAACTACTTTTAAAAAAATTCCTTAATTCGTTCAGTACTGGAGGACAGTTAAATTAGATATATCATACATAATGCATTCCTTGGGACAGAAAGAGTTAAGTCCTCAAGATGTGGTTTTCAGAAGTAAGAATACTTGAAATTCCTTGAAAAGTCAAAGAAAGTAGTCTAAATGCTTTGAAAGAGAGACAGTTTATACTAATATCAGAAAGAGGTGACCATCATTTATTGGAGCCACAATATTGAAAAAGGAAAACTGAAACATGTCTGACAACTGAAAAGATTTGCAGAGAGGGAGAAAAAAAAAAGGTAGCGAGAAAAGATTGACAGCCTTTTGTCATGGCAACGAAGATTGTCAACAAATGAACTGATACATGCTGTTGGTGATCTCAGCGTTTTCAGAAGCATGGTTGCCTGTGTCAGTCAGCAAGGCTCATGATGATGTTGGTGATTAATTTCAGTAAATGATGACATATGACTTCTGCTTGCTTAATTGAATTGTTTTCTTTGGTTTGATCATCGAGATTATCTTTAGTTAATTTCATAGTAAGAATTATATAAGTTTGCACCCAGAGTGATGTATTATATAGCTTGTCCATTTTTCTGAATAGACTGTTGTGTTTCATCAAGAAATCGTAAAGATGACTGCTATTATATTCACCATATAAACCATAAATCACACACTGATTGGTCTAATGATATAAGCCAATTACCATATCCCATATCAGCCAGAGGCAGGGAAAAGTCACCTTGTAATTTTCACGTACGGTCATTATCAAAATATATATATATATATATATATGTTTTAAGCAGATTGATCATTATTAATTATTTATTTTTGACAAGCATAAACACTCTTTGCAGGATCGCATGTAAATGTGAGTATGCTGATGTATAAAAGGCAAATCAAATTTATACTGCAGTTAGAAAATTATTTTTTATTTAAAGAGAATATAAAATTAAAGATCTGCATTTATGAAAAAATAAGTAGCATATAAACTGTGAAGTTTAATTATTGAGACAGTCTATCCTGAGATCGGAATTTAAAATAGTTTTATAATAATTATGAAGTAAATAAAGAGTTTTAGTAAAAATGTGGTTTCATTTTTTTAGTTGTAAGACATAAATTAAGGAAAGGTTGAAATAAAATAATATACTTTAGTGTTTACTTTATTAAGAAAGGTAGTAAGCAGTACTTATAAAATTTAACAACTATTTCGTGTTTTTTCTATTTATAAGTCTGGTTACAACCTAATAGTACATTTTCGGTTTTCAGTATTTGGAACTCCTTGGCAATTTGGCGGTACATTTACAAGTCAGGGAGGGGTATTACAAGCTAAAGATTCTGATGTCTGCTTGGTGGTGGTAGCCAATGCAGTGGCCAAGGCGGAGTATGTTGATATCTATGGAGCTGTGTTCACAGATACTGTAGAGATTAGAAAAAAGGTGAACATGTTTTACATTGTTTATCTTAAAAAAAAATTAATGAATGTAAGTAGGTTAAAATAATTAACCAGCTGCAACAAAACAACAAAAATACGGAAAAACAAAAGTACATATCTCCATGTTTATGTCACGTGCAGAAATATTTGTAGGGAGGTGCACATTTGTACTTTTGATGTTTTATTGCTGAATGGTAAAGAACTCTTATTAATAATTTTAGGTGCAAATTTAGGGAACAATTATGGGACTTAAATATATAGGTATAATGAAAGGATAAGGCATATCTTTCTTGCAGTGTACAGTTATGTTATTTAGAAGAGGGGAAAATGTAAAGCTAGTAACTGTACACTGACGGCCATGTTTTATATATTCTTGCAGCTAGACTTTCCTGCTAAAGAAAGTCTCATTACACCAGTGGTGGAGTACCACGCAGTTCCATCTAGCACTTTCAACAGGCATGTCTGTGTGCAGCTGCCTCATGCTCTGCTAGAGGAGTTTGATGTCAGCCTGATTAAGGTACAGAATAGTGATATATTGCAAGCTTGAAAAGGATTCTTCTTCTTCTTCTTCTTCTTCTTCTTCTTCTTCTTCTTCTTCTTCTTCTTCTTCTTCTTCTTCTTCTTCTTCTTCTTCTTCTTCTTGCATTTCCTCTTTTATATCTTTGGATGTTAAAAGGTTCTGGCACTTGCTCTTCAAGCCACCTCAAGCAAAGACACTTGATACTTTTGAAGAGATTCACTTGTTATCTTTCTGCTCTGTTCATGGTCCACCTTGAATCTTATATCTATTTCCTCTTTTTGTATATATCTGGTATAATATGAAATTACAAAGCTTTCTGTTTAAGTGAGTAATAAATTATATTTGATTTTATTTGCAACAGTCTGCATTCAAATAAGCCAGATCTGTAAAATGGACGTGTATGCAAAACTGAAGTTCTGAAACAAGACTAAAGTCCAGAGGTGGATGAATAATCAGAACTTTCGAACAGAGTTTTCAGTCAGTGATCATGAAGAAGAAGAAACTAGATATTATACTACTATAAGCAGACGAGCAGTTTATCAGGTTTCATCTTGACAAGATGACAGAAGCCCTATACTTTCCATCTCTAGATATATTCTGTAGGTAATATTGTTCCTATGCTTCTTCTAATATCCCGATTTCTCTGTATTTTTTATTAAAAAAATTACCCCCTTCTGGGATTCACTGCCTGAAAGATTCAACACCTATTGACTCTGAGAGCCACTTTGGATGAGAATCCTATCAGCAAATCCCCAAAACCCTGTTCATCCTTAGGACACAGTTATATTAGGGCACCCAACGTTTACAAGGTAGCTTACTGTCTAGTGCGGATGGGTCATTTCTTGGTCTTTTCATTCTGGTGACACTAACAGATTGTCTCAAGCCCTAATTTCACATTCCTTAATCATATTTATTGTCCAGAGACCATGATTTATGCTTTTTAAAAAAAAAAAAAAAGGCATTTGAACTAAAGTCCTTGAGTACTAATGATAATAGTTTTCAGACAAAATGACTTTATTGCAGTTTCAGGGGGAAAAAAAAAAACTCCAGTAAAAAAAAAAAAAATCCTTTGTTAAAGAAGCCATTAAAAAACCCATTAAAAAAAAAAGAAAGAGCGAACTTATGCATCTTTATGTTGAACTGGAAAAAAAAAAGATGACAGCAAAGATAATCAGAATGAGGATAGTGATTGATAAATTACTGCTAAGAATTATTCAAGTTTCCAAGTTTTCTTATAAAAACTTATGAACAGGTTTGCTCATTATTTAGGAAAAGGATTTTTTTCTCTTTCAGGTGTACACTTTTACAGTAGATGAGCTTGGGAAAGTCACTTTGTACACTGTCCCCATGTCTGGGAAAGCCAATGATGACAGAAACTTGGAGACATACTGGGAGAAGGGTTCTGATGGATGTAGTATATTCATCAACACAACACACTTCAGGTACCTGGATATGTTTTTTCTAAATTACATAAAATAAACAGAAATAAGATTGTAACCAACTCACAAAACATGTTAAAAAAGATGGAGCCAGGCATGCTCAGTGCAGATTGATAAGCATCGCCATCAGAGGGCTCGGGTAGTTAGCATTCTTTAGATATTTTTCTCTGGGTATGCTGGAGTGTTGGGAAATGAACAGACACACAGACTGGCTGGTTCTGTACCAATGGGTGGTGAATTTATGCATCATAAGCTGGATGTGGTCAAAGCTGTTTGGGAACAAATGAACAATGCCGATGCACAATTTCATCATTATAGTCTGGAGAGAATGGTACAGCTAGGAGTGACCAGCGGGATCTGGTTGATACTCTCTCTACACTTGGAGGCAAGAGAAGGTGGAGATACTATCAAACTGCTACTAGCAGCATTGGAATTCGAAACACTTGGATGGCTGCTGAACAAGAAAATGGAGCATTTATGGGAATATCCAGAGTGCTATGATGTCATTTCTTAGTTCAACAGTCAACAAATATGATTTTTTAGTTTAGGTAAGCAGTGAATGATTTTTCAGTTTAGGTAAGCAGTGAATGATTTTTCAGTTTAGGTAAGCAGTGAATGATTTCAGTTTAGGTAAGCAGTGAATGATTTCAGTTTAGGTAAGCAGTGAATGATTTCAGTTTAGGTAAGCAGTGAATGATTTCAGTTTAGGTAAGCAGTGAATAATTTTTCAGTTTAGGTAAGCAGTGAATAATTTTTTTCAGTTTAGGTAAGCAGTGAATGATTTCAGTTTAGGTAAGCAGTGAATGATTTCAGTTTAGGTAAGCAGTGAATGATTTTTCAGTTTAGGTAAGCAGTGAATGCTTTTTCAGTTTAGGTAAGCAGTGAATGATTTCAGTTTAGGTAAGCAGTGAATGTTCTCAGTTTAGGTAAGCAGTGAATAATTTTTCAGTTTAGGTAAGCAGTGAATAATTTTTTCAGTTTAGGTAAGCAGTGAATAATTTTTCAGTTTAGGTAAGCAGTGAATGATTTTTCAGTTTAGGTAAGCAGTGAATGATTTCAGTTTAGGTAAGCAGTGAATGATTTCAGTTTAGGTAAGCAGTGAATAATTTCAGTTTAGGTAAGCAGTGAATAATTTTTCAGTTTAGGTAAGCAGTCAATAATTTTTCAGTTTAGGTAAGCAGTGACTAGTTGCTTGCTTGCCTGTTGGTCAGAAAGGTCTTGAATCTTCATTGAGGTGGATTTTGTGTAATTGACCTGGACCCCTAGGTTCACTCAGGCTTGAATGGGTAGCAAATGATTTAGGATGTACAGGCAACCTATTTGATGTTGATCCAGTCACCTGTCAAGTTCTTGCTGGTTCCTTGTTGCTTATTGTCCTTAGTGGCATCACTGCACATATGGTCCAGACCAGTTGTGCTCCATCCTCTCATGCAGCAGCCATCTCAGTGTCTCCTTGCTCAGCATACACAGTAGGAAGTGTTTGGGACATCTTGCTTTGCCCCACAACCAGTTTCTGCATCGACCTATCACATTCCAGTAGGCCTATAAAAATATGGGTCTAGCAACATATGTCTGGTGAATCAGTTGGCATGAAAAGGGGCCTTTACTTACACAGGAAGATTGTATCTTTGACTGGTTGTCAATCCTCTGAAAGAGGAGTTTTCACTCTAAAGTCCAGTGTATTGGCATTCAGATTGTCTGATTTGAAAAAAGAGCTTTATTCTACCAGAGTAAGGTAGTACTGAGAAATTTCTCTGGACTCAGTACCAAAGTACATCTCCAAGGGAACTGTATTGCAGAGGATTTCAATCTTTCCCCTAGAACTCAGAAACAGCTGGGTGTACAAGACTCACATCCACATGATCTGTGAGTAAAGCATGGAGAAGCATGTCTATGCTACCTTTGCGGTCGAGATAGGAGACATTATAATCAACTCCTCATGGGGACAATCAGTAGAGGTACCTTGGAGTAGCTGCCGCAGCAGAAGACTGAGCACGCACATGCATGTCCAGTGTGCAGTGACATCGATTGTGATAACATAACTGAGCTGTATTGGAAAACTTAGTCCTTTTGACATCAGCTTTATTTGAGCATATTTTCAAGATATAAAAATTACCCATCATACATTTGTACATCCACAGTGGTTACTTCTGCACTCTGTGTAAATCATCCAGTCTCCCATCCATCTGTACCATGGTATTTGGCTCCCACGTTCAGATCACCCCTTCACGCAGGGAAGTCAGGGTCATCCTGTACATATGGGACAGGCGATTAACTATTAAAGATTATCTTGAGGTTGGTAATTTTGTTTGTCTTCAACATTATAGGTTGTGTCCCTTTTTGGATTGAAACGAAAGTAATTAAACTGTTATGTCACTTACCTTGCCACCTGGTGATCGTACCCTTCGACTCGAACCTTTTAATTTTATCATTTCATGTTTTGGCGTCTCTCATTGCTGTAGTCTCAGTGTGGGTACCAGGGCCCCATTTTTGGGGGGAAGAAGAATAGACCCACTTCCTCCCCTACAAAGCATGTAGCACAAGATGACTAATTAGGAGTTGGAGTGCATCTGCCTGAGGAGCAAGGAACTAACAGTCTACACACAAATAAGCCAGATCTGTAAAACAGATGTGCACTCAAATCTCAAGTTCTGGAATAAGACTGCACATTTATTATTATTGTATTTCGGTTTACACATTTATTATTAAAGTTCCATGTACATGTGTAGTGTGGTTCTTCAGTGTACACTTTTATTGTTAAAGTTCTGTCTGCACGTTAATACTGTAGCTCTAACTAAAAATTGATTGTTGTAGTTCTGTCTATACATTTATTACTGCAGGCCTATCTATACAGTTTGTTTTAGACATTGTTGCATGAAACCTGTCATAGTTTCTATAAAATATAAATTTGTGTTTAAATGATGAACATTTTAAGTTTGATCTGTTATAGAGGTTCCGCAAGGAGGAATCTGATGTTGATCGTCAGCTGTTGACAGACATGCAAGTGCCCCTGCTGAATGATGCCTCCTCAGACAGTCGATTGCTTATGAAAATGGAAGTAATGGGGGAGGATGAAGATCGGCAGTCCTGGAGACATGTTTCCAGACCAGACGGTTCAAGGCCACTGTTTAGACCCTTACAGGTAGATTCCTTTGTGCAATGAGTTGGAATCTGTTTATGATGAAATACCTAAAAGCTATGAAGGAAACATTTTCAGCATTAGCCTAACCATAGCCAACATGTAAGTGCAGAACCCTGACCTGGTTACGGTCTTATATGTATAGGATGGTAAGTTCCAGTACTGGTCTTGCACACTCTATTTTTTTTTTTTTACAAAACTTATTGGGGGCCAGAAAGAGTTAAAGAGTTGAAGGAGAGCTCTGCAACTTAACTCTCTTTGGTAATGGTAATTTAGTACCATATCGAGAAGGAAGTCTCCACACCTTTACTCCAACAGAAACAAACCCTTTTCGTGGATCAAATGACCTGAATCCCCGCGTGGGTTCTGGCGCTGTGTTGTCAGGGAAAAAAGATGTCTCACTGCTCCTCAACATACATGCTGTAAATGGCGACTAATTAAGGATTTGCTAAAATTACATTTATTGGTCCCAAAAGTGCAGATATCTTAGCCTAGCTGTAAACTGCAACACAGTATGCCAACCACTGCTTTAAGGGCAAACACTGAAGAAAAAGAAGAAGAAGAAGAAGAAATGACCTGAATGTTAGCGGACCATATTTAAAATGTAAAATTCAACCTCCCAGAGAGATCACAAACAACCACCAGGCAGAGTATTTACTTTTTTAAGAACGTATAAATTACCATATTCAGTTATACTGTTTAATACCCCTCTACTATCTTGCATAAATATACAAATTAAATCACCTACCAGAAATTAAATGGTATACCAGGAATTAAATGGTATGCCAGGAATTAAATGGTATTCCAGGAATTAAATGGTGTGACAGGATTTAAATGGTACGCCAGGAATTAAATGGTATGACAGAATTGCTAATGTGGAACTTTGGGAGGGAACTACCTTTTCCAGGAATTAAATGGTATGACATCCCAAAATGGGTTCTGGGACCTTATTGTGGGGAAAACAAGAATAGATTCACAGCCTTCCCAACAAGCATGTCATAGGAGTCAACTAATTGGGAGCATCATTCAAAGTTAGAGTGAATCTACCTGAGAAGCAATGAACCAGCAGTCTGCATACAAAATGCCAAATGTGTAAAATGGATGTGCATGCAAAACTCAGGTTCTGGAAAAAGACTAAAGTCTGGAGGTAGACAAACAACCAGAACTTTTTATCAGAGTTCACAGCTGAGGAAGAAGAAATGGAATGACAGAATCGTTAGTGAGGAGCTTTGAAGAGGAACTAAGCAAATGCCAGTGAATCAAGAGATGAGGAAAAGATGTTGGCACTGGACAAGACGCACATTGAGAAAACCATACTACAGTGTAACTTGAATGCTCTTGTATGGAACTCACAGTCACATGTAAAATGGGCCTGCTTATCTAGTTTGTGACCGTATGACTTTGAAATTTATTTATTCATGTTCTTATACCTCATAAAAGTAACTAGGATGATTTCAATTTTCTATGACAGGCCCGTAAGTTGAGAGACATAGTTCACTGCTGCAGACAGACAGACCCCATTCGGGTAGAATGGGCTCTGGAAAATGCTCCAAGGCAAGTCCCCAGCACAGTCTTCCAATGCTGTATTGATATCATGCATGTTCATGAATCAACCAGCGATTTTGAAACTGCAATGAGAGAAGGAAGTGATGAACTTTTGAGAACATTTTATGTCAGAGATCTCAAGGTCATGCCACATTCTTCTCAGGTAAATTGACATTTGTAAATCTGGATCCTGTCACTTGATCTCAGATGCATGTTTTGTTTCTTTCCTTATTCTGTTCACTTCTTGAATGGTATAAGAATAGCTGATGTAGGACTTGGGAGCTACAGTTATGGTGGATCAAGAATTGAGAGAAAGGTGCTAGCATCAGATGGGATGCCCACTGAGAAAACCTAATAACAGTATTAGCCTTTGCTATAAGGTTAAAGGTTAAAGGTGAGTGTATCAACTTGATTGCATTGGGTTTGATCCCATATGGCTTGGTATCTCTCAGCAGAACTGCTAGGCATCTCTAGAGAGCACCACACAAAGCTGAAACTCTGTAGCTCTAGCAGTAATCCCCAGTGATTTCCTTAGATATTGCACTTGTGAACCAAATGATGCCATCATAAAACGAACCCACGACTTTGAGAGTGCGAGGCAAATGACTTAACTACTTCACAATCGAGACCCCTAGAGAGTGTTCTTGTACCAAAATGGCCAAAGGAATAAAGTGAAGGCAGACCAAAAACACGAAAAGAGGATTAGAGAATGAGCTGGGGGAAAAGAGATGGAGAAGATATGGGATGAGCTGCACAAACTGGCAAATGATAGGATGACCTAAAATGAGTTGGTTGAGGGTGTATGTTCTACTGGTGAATAAAGCAGATGACATTTTTTTTTTTTTTTACTTCTGCCAGTCATTTTGAATCACAATATACACAAGTAAAATTATATAATAAAAGTTCTGTAAGGCTATATGATAAAATTAACCAGTTTTAAATTTAGGCATAGTGTGAATAAAACCAAGGTTCTTATATTAAATTCTGGTGTTATTTCAGTTTTAACATCTGCTAGTAAAAGTTGGAGACCTAGAAAAGACATGGAATGAAAGTTAAATGCATTAAAAAACACATACCTGACAAAATTGATGAAAATAAAATGGGATGAATTCAAAAGGGGTAAAGAAATAAGTAGTATCCCCAGACCTCACTATAGCAGAAGACACCTGTTCTGTATGTCAAGTACATAATAATATTGAACATTATTAACTCTACTGCAAGAAATATGAACTCCAAAAGACTTTCCTTAATAAATATATGATTCGCTGCATTAAGCATATGACAGTTGAAAACATGCTGGGAATAGATGGTTCTAGAGAACTACAGGGAAGAATTAAACAGTAAATAACAAGAATGGGGATTCACTTAAAAATGTTAAAATATCTTAAGACTGAATTATGGTATCCCAGATCACTTTAAATATTCACAAACATAAACTACACAATAATATTAATATAATTGTTTAAAAGGACATTTAAAATATAATGAATGTGATAATCTATACTTATACAAACTTATGCAGTAAATACATAGGCTGTGCAATATTTAATAACCAAACATAATTATTAGACATAAATATACACTATTGAAATGGAGGAAGGGGGGGGGTCAGGGGGGGGGGAGGCTCTACATATCCCAGTTTTAACCCAGATGGGTTAAACAGGATATTGTCGTTTAAATTACTACCCCTACTACTACTAGTAGTATCCACAGTTATAAGACAGGGAAGGTGGCCCTCCATTTGATACATCCTAAGAAAAAAAGAGCAGAGAATCACCAAACAGGCAATGAAATGGGGAAATACAGGGATTGAGGAGGTAAGGATGCCTAAAAGAAACCCTGAAATACACACTGATGAGGGAGGTCAGGGGTGCCCCCATTGGATTCCATCCATGATATTGAACTGATTGTAAAGGATAGAATGATATGAAGGAATAGACAGCAAACCCTGTGTGAGACACAATGGCACAATAGGACAATGAATGAAGGACTAGACAGCAAACCCTGTGTGAGACACAATGGCACAATAGGACAATAAATGAATGAATGAATATAACTGCTTTGACTATATGGTTGAACAGCGTTTCTGAGATTTGTATGTGTTTGTTTCTCTCATCTTTGAGATGTTCAATCCTTTCGAAATATACCTTTGCTGTCAGATCAACCCAGCCTTAATGTGGGTCAGGTAAGGTTCAGGGAAGTAAAAGCAGCATTTGGCATGAGGTTAGCCACATCACACTTGGAGTATCAACTGGTCTTTAAAAATATAGGTCATGCACTTTATGCTCAATAAACCAAAGTATGCAAAGTGTACTTACTTTACTTATATTATGACAGAAGTCAAATTTCTTAGTCTATTTTAAACTTGAACAAAGCTTTTTCTGCAAGATTTTGTTTCATTCTGTATTTAGGAATTACGACCACATACACATATTCAGCTTGGGGACCTAAAGAAGATATTACTGGAGATAACAAATGTGCCACAAACGGAGAAAATTTGTCAGGAGTTTGGCATCACTGTAAAAGACATCGGAAACTTTAAAAAGAAGTAAGCACTTTATGCTGCCATACCAATTTCTTCTTTTTATTTATTTCAGTGAGAGATGATTACAAAGCTTACAGATTGTTCCAATGCATATGTTTAGAAGAACTCTGGTCTAATCTGTTGAAATTATATAAGCAAATCACAGCTACATTTAAGAGAAAATTCTGGCCTTGTTTGTTAGACTTATACACAGAGTTATACATTTCTCAAACTTTGTGCAGAAACAAATTAAAACATACCACTGTTGTTTAATATTAATAATTCATGTAACACAATGAACGATTTGCTTTATTTGAGGAAGTCTGCCAGTAAGTACCATAGTTGCTTCAGTCTAGACTGACAGAAAGGCTACCGGTAAGTGCCACAGTTTCTTCAGTCTAGACTGACAGAAAGGCTACCAGTAAGTGCCACAGTTTCTTCAGTCTAGACTGACAGAAAGGCTACCAGTAAGTGCCACAGTTTCTTCAGTCTAGACTGACAGAAAGGCTACCAGTAAGTGCCACAGATTCTTCAGTCTAGACTGACAGAAAGGCTACCGGTAAGTGCCATAGCTGCTTCAGTCTAGACTGACAGAAAGGCTACCGGTAAGTACCATAGTTGCTTCAGTCTAGACTGACAGAAAAGCTACCGGTAAGTGCTATAGTTGCTTCAGTCTGGACTGACAGAAAGGCTAACGGGAAGTGCCATATTTGCTTCAGTCTAGACTGACAGAAAGGCTACCGGTAAGTGCCATAGTTGCTTCACTCTAGACTGACAGAAAGGCTACCGGTAAGTACCTTAGTTGCTTCAGTCTAGACTGACAGAAAGGCTACCAGTAATTTCTACCTTAATGTGTCAGATAAGTATTTTACAGTAAAATATTAAAAATAATTTCTACCTTAATATGTGATTGCTTTGCAGATACTCAACGGTGGAAGCATTTCAAGTGGGACTTGTAGATGAGTGTTTGAACAGACATGGTATGGACAAGTTCATGACTCAGTTACCATATGTCTTAGAGAGGCTGAATCTGATACATGTTCTCACTACCCTAGAGAACAGGAAAGTTTTCTACAAAGTTGACAAAGATACCTCACACTGCCAGACCCAGGCTGAAACACATGTCCAGCATAAAGTTACTTCTCACGTTCCAAATCCTAACGAGATTGAGGGTGAGGATGAAGCCAGCACTTTGTGTAAAACCCCTTATTCAAGAAGACCCACTTCTTCAAGTCACAGGACCAAGTCCAGCTCATCAGTAAACAGTAGGAGCAGGGAAGAAATCAGAAGAAACCAAAAATCTGATTTCCAGCACCAGCTGTCAGAGAAAAGTGATGATGTGTTTGTTCTCAACAGTCCACTGCAGCAAAATCCTGGTTTAAGTGACCAACATAATAGAAATGTGGGTAGTTTAGAAGATGGCAGGCAACAGTTGAGATACAGCAGACTTAGACATAATTCTCCACCAAGTGAATGTCATGATGACTGTGAACCGAACCAAGCTAATAATCACACAGTGAGGTATACCAGAGCTGGAGACATGTGGCAGGACACTGGAGAAATACAAATTGAGAAGAAGCAAAAGTCATCCAGCAGTAGAAATGATTCTCTTCTTAGCAGGTCTATATCATCAGGAGATAATCTGATACCATCTTCACATTTCCCGTCAAGATCAACTTTAGACTCTAGTCGAGTTGCTCATGAAGATCCTTTAGATTTTGCAGAACCATATCCGGATGAGCTTCTAGATGATGACCTGCGACAAACTTACAAAAAAGAACTTGCTGTTCAGCGAAATACTTTTGGTCCTTCTTCAGCAAATTATTCATCCTGTCAGTTCAACAGAGATAGACTCAGTCTGTCCGATAGTGGGCCCAACGCATTACCTCCCCTGTCAGGGACAAATAATTGTTCATCTGTCTCTGATCCTGTGCCACCTTACAAAAAATTACAAAAAGATAATCGTGAGAAGTCTCAGTCCCAAGACAAGGATCAAACACTTAAGAAAGAAATGTATGCTACACATACCATTGTATAACAATATGTCCTCATCTGTTTTGATATCACAGACTAAAAAATATTTAGATATTGACATAGATAGTGCTTTAAATGGTGCTCTTACATGTATCATCATTAAAAAACATGATTCTGTGAATATCAATCCTTAATGGAGAATAATTCCTTTCTTTAAAATTGTGGGTTGTTTTACATTAATTATTAAACTTTTAATATTATTTATTAGGGAAGCCGTGGTCGCTTAGAAACTAGACACTTGCCTGTCGGCCTGAGGGCCTAGGAATCTAATTCACATTGAGGCAGTTTTATTTTTCAGAGCTGAGCTAGGGCCTAGGTCACCAGTCTAAAATGGGTGCAAGTAATATCATGGGAAGTAAAGGAGACTATCCTAATGTTGAATACATCAGCCATCGAGTGCTGATTGGTCTATTAAAAATATAGGTCTAGGATTATATGCCTAATGTGCCAATTTCATGGAAAGGGTCCTTTATTTAATGTATAATTCAGTAATTGGTTGCCTGAAAATAAGAAAGCTGAAACTTCCTGTGTACTATTTCAGGTAGATTAAAAATTTTCCTGGTATTATTTTCATCAAAATTATGTGGCGTACTAAATGGCAAAACTGTTCTTGTCTCTCTGTGTATATAAAATATCATTTGCAGTCAGTATTTCTTTGGTAAATTTTCTCAATAATTTCTTTACCATGATTTCATTTAGCCCAGCCAGATTTATAGGATTGGTGGCTTCTTCATTTAGTCTTAGAGAAGACTTTAGTTACTTCGTTGCTATGGATATTTTGTGTGTGTGTGTGTTTGTTTGTGGGTATCTTTAATACAGTTTAATTAAATTTTGTTGCTATTACCAATTATCTGTTGAGTTTATGTATTTGCTGCTAATTTCTTTATTTATCTAATCATATGCTTTTCTGTAATTTTTACTTTGTTTTCTCATATCCACCAAAATGTATCTGGTCATCCAATTCTGCTTATTTTTGTGTTTGCTATCATTATATCTTTACTTGTCTGTGAAATGGAATTGTTCTGCATTTTCGATGCATTATTCACGTATGATTATATTTTAAGTATAACTTCAGGATGACTAGACTAATTATATTATGTTCCATGCTGATTACCATAGGCAGCCATTTGTCATCTCACATGATCAGTCTTGCATTCATTCATGTCTGTGCTCTTGCTTCAGTTATTGCCATATGGCCAGACAATTTTGTATCCTTCCTATGCTTTTTCTCCTATCATGATTACAGTTGTCAAATGTATACATGCTCATATATATATATATATATATATATATATATATATATATATATATATATATATATATATATATATATATATATATATATATATATATATTATATAGACTCGGCATCACTGCTCACACATAAGGCATTCATAAGTAATCTGTGGTTCACTGTAAAACCAGGAACACAAATCTTTCAGCATGGGCATGCAGCTTTCTATAGAGTTGGCTGGTATTAAACTTTCTGGACAATATAATTAGGTTGTGCTGTAGGGAATTATGGGAACCACAGCTAGGGGTGATGTGAGAGTGATTAGCAAGACCCGCTCTCAAACAGGAAAATTGTACACAGTCAGAGCATGGCATTTCAGGATCATTATTGCCATCACATATGTTGAATGTAATGTGTTGTTCTCAGATGCTCAACTCTCCCCGTGTGGGTTACAGGGCGAAATTTTAGTAGGTATAAAAAAGAAACACAGCCCACTACCATGCATGTTGAATGAGGCAACTAATAATGGGTGTTTCCTTTAAAGTCACTGTATGTTAACCTGACAGGCAAGGAACCAAGTCTGAATACAAGTAAGTCTGTTCTGAAAAGGGAATATGCACGTAAAACTCAAGTTCTGGATCAAGACCAAAGTCCAGCAGTGGATGAACAACCAGAAATTTATGTCTGGAGTTTACAGCTGATGGAAGCTAAGAAGAAGAAGAATAAGCAGAAGAAGAAGAAAACACTGACCTCTTAACCTGGTTTAACTCACCATGTGAAGTGGTCCATGGCATCCTGTTCTCATAAATCCACCTCATCAGTAGCTGTGATGGCTTGCTTGCACACATCATTATATCATAGTAGAGGCTAACTTTAGCATCTTCTATACACTGGTAATTGATCCTTCAGATATGTCCTAGCTATATGAGCTTTTATATGAGCAATGAGAAAACTTTGTGATACCCACTCTTTCCAATACTTCAGTGTTTGTGATCTTGTCTAGTCACCTAATGCCCAATATTCTTTGTAGGCATCACACTTGAAAGCTATTTAGCCAATTTTCATGATTAGAGAGTGGGGAGAAAAGCTGTTCCCAGAACAAAATGTGTTTATCATTGTTTGGTTAGGAGGAAACAACACATATAGTTAACTCAGTGACCAATTAAGTGGATCCAATTTTTTGGGATCTACTCATCTCTCAGTTGTATATACTAAAATCACATATGTTATAAATATTTTTTGTAGATATTTTTTTAAATCGGTTTGAGCTTTTGCCTAGGCCTTTTGGTTTACACTTTTAAATTTACAACTGCTGAGAAATATTTAAAGTGGGTACAACTCCTCCAAGTATTATATTTTTTTTAAAATTCTTTATATTTAAAAAAAAAATTCTGTTCAAGAAGGCAAGACAACCTATAAATTATCCCCAGATCAAAGAAAAGTATATGATCCTTTTATTATTTTGTAAGAAAATTTGTGTAATCTTGACCATGAAATGATAAGCAGGTTTGCATGAACTAGGTGCAGCCATCTTTACTTTTAAGCCGCTCCTTTTCTATTCTGTGTCCATGAATTATTTTACCTTTGAACCCTGTTTCTCATGAACTTCAAATATTTTGTACTGGAGTTTCTGATGAGAAACAAAAAGCAGAATGTGCACACCCTCCCACCTCTTTTAACATCACCTGCGATATCTTTTTATCAATAATCTTGATCAAAATTTTTTTTGTCATTATTTTTTTCCTTCAAACAGTATGTCTTGTCATGTACTGTTTTGAATCCTAATCAAAAGCTTTCATTATTCCCACCCACCCCCCCCACCCCCCCCCCCCCCAAATTTAGTACATCTTACTAAGTAAACGTATTACTACTGCTATGTTTTGTGTGGCTAGTAACAGAAGCATTTTTATTTCCCTCTATTAAATTTAGATACCCAAACCTTAGTATGAGTTTTAATTATACCTACTCCATTATAAAAAAAGCTCTAATTGACCAAATGTTTAAAGTCATCTATTCTTTTTTTGTTTTTAATGACAAAATCCTTAGCTTTTAGAAACATCACACAGATTGGGATCTTGGGGTTAAATAGTTAATTATCACTTGGATAAAGTGAAACATCACTTTATGTTCTCTCGTTTCAGCTATTAATACATTCCACATGTTATTCTTCATGACACACCTGTAAATAATAGTAAAACAACTTATGTGTTTTAATAGTTAATGGATTACATTTTAGTGGACTGATCACCATAATTTTTTAAAACAATATTGCATACAAAGATGGCAGCAAATTGAATGTATTTTCTGAGTTTGTTCCTTTTATTTAGAAGGCAATATTGGTTTGATGTATTATAGTTTGATATGTACAAACTAAAATTACATTAATTGATACATTTTAATTGCTGATGCATGTTATTTTTGTATCATTTATATTTTGTTGGCCATTAAAAGATTGTTGCTGTCAAGTTCAGTTCATGTCTTTCTTTCGTCATCCATGTTGTTTAGTTTTAAATAGGTAACTATAGTTGTGTTGGGTTGATATTTTGTCAAGTTCAGTTCATGTCTTTCTTTCATCAGCCATATTGTTTAGTTTTAAATAGGTAACTATAGTTGTGTTGGGTAGATATTTTGTCAAGTTCAGTTCTTGTCTTTCTTTCATCAGCCATATTGTTTAGTTTTAAATAGGTAACTATAGTTGTGTTGGGTTGATATTTTGTCAAGTTCAGTTCTTGTCTTTCTTTCATCAGCCAAATTGTTTAGTTTTAAATAGGTAACTATAGTTGTGTTGGGTAGATATTTTGTCAAGTTCAGTTCTTGTCTTTCTTTCATCAGCCATATTGTTTAGTTTTAAATAGGTAACTATAGTTGTGTTGGGTTGATATTTTGTCAAGTTCAGTTCATGTCTTTCTTTCATCAGCCATATTGTTTAGTTTTAAATAGGTAACTATAGTTGTGTTGGGTTGATATTTTGTCAAGTTCAGTTCTTGTCTTTCTTTCATCAGCCATATTGTTTAGTTTTAAATAGGTAACTATAGTTGTGTTGGGTTGATATTTTGTCAAGTTCAGTTCATGTCTTTCTTTCATCAGCCATATTGTTTAGTTTTAAATAGGTAACTATAGTTGTGTTGGGTAGATATTTTGTCAAGTTCAGTTCATGTCTTTCTTTCATCAGCCATATTGTTTAGTTTTAAATAGGTAACTATAGTTGTGTTGGGTAGATATTGTCGACCCAATATGGACTAGGCTAGTGGATGATGAGGAACCTCTGCATGACATGGGAGTAAAGCACAGTGGAACACATCTGTGCTGCTTTAAAAGCTGAGAAAGGAGACATCTAACTCCTTATGGGAACAACCAGTAGAAGTACTTCTTTTCCAGAAGTGTCTTACTTTTATGATACTTATTTTGTGACAGGGTCAATCCTTAAGCCATAGTTGTAGAAGAAAGTAGTATTGCTACTGCTGCAGATTGAACTCGGGATTACTACTTGACATACTGTGCCCAAGTGAGCTATGTGTGCAAACTTCCAGAACATATCCTGCAAGACTGTCTCTTAAAGAGCCCACTAAGAAGGGAATACTGGAGCAATGAGTTAACATCCTACTCAAAGATGTATGGAACTAAAAAGGACTCCAAAAATAGTCAATGTTATTATTCCACAAACTTTTTGTCTTTTCAGAAAAGTTGTCATATGAAGAAGAACTATTTGACAGATGAGTACACTGTAAAGATTTTCTATGTCCATAGTTATTTTAATAATGATTTAAAGA